CCCTATCTACGTCATCCGCATCATAAGCCTTTGTTCTTTCGTTCCGTCTCTATTTTTTACGCGTTCATGACGAAAGTTGAATTGTCATTTAGCTCTGACATCAAATATCTCGGAGTAAATTCGTTCATGTCATTTGGATGATATGCTATTAAATCATATCTCTTAGCGAGCTTGTATTTTCCAGGTTTGAAATTATATCCCATTTGGTGCTGAGTCATAAAGCTAAATAGGTTCGGGTCAGTATTTCCATCCTTGAACTTTCTAATAGCTTCTTTATATCTGTCACTAAAGTCAACAGTATCTGGGAAACCACACTCTTCTTTAAGCATTTTTAAGAATTCTTGGTTTCCTTGTTCTCTACTTCTTTTATGTCCTTGCTCTGTTTGTGGTTGTTGTTGTTGTGCTGGATTTTGAACTGTTGGTTGTTGTGTTGGTTTTGGTGCTGGATTTTGAACTGTTGGTTGTTGTTGTGGTGCATGCCTGTGTCTGTGTCCATGTGACGATGTAAATGTTCTAGGTAGTCCTGGTGCAGGTGCTTCTCTTGGAGGGTTTGGTGGTATATAAGTTCCACCAGCTGGCACATATGTTCCATCTGCAGCATAGTGTCCTACCTGACTTTTCGTTCTTAAGAAAGCATTTACTAGGTCTGTTTTGGTCTGTTGTAACTCTTTTTCTTGACTTTCCACAACAGTTGCTCTAACGGCGTCATAGGCACTTTGAACTGCCTGTCTCGTTGCTGCATCTGTTATTTTCGTCAGATTTTGTGCTACTTCTTTTAACTCTTTGTCGAAACCTTCAGACTTCAGTTTCTTTCCAGATGAGAAGTCGTTCACTTGTTTCACCTTACTATGAAGAGCTTCGAAGGCGTTCTTAAAGTCAGCATTTGTTAAAGCTTCATTTGAACTGTCTTCATCCGCTTGTATTTTTGTCCTTATTGACCCTATAAGCTGGGCTGCTTTAGCGTTGGCTTGGGCATCTAACCAGTCATTGTTAGCTTTTATATATTCTGCGCTTTTCATTGCCTTTTGCATGGCTGCGTCGTTATTTTTACTTTCTTGTGCTAAGTTTTCATACTGTACGGTTTGGTTTTGCAACTGTAAAAGTTTTTCTGCCTTTACATTTGCTTCAACTTCTTTTTTATAGAAAAAACCAGAATTTTCGAAAAAGTGACACCAACTATTAAAGTTATTTTATTACTAGATTTATTTACAAATTATAAGATAATATCATTAACCGAATATATTTTTAATATAAATAAAAAACTTTTTTTATACAAAAAATTACAATCAATCGATAAATATTATAAAACATTTATTCCAAAAAGATTAAGTAATAGGTGGGATCCTGCATATAATATAATTTTATGTCATAAAGCTTACAAATTTTAGATGGACCACAGTGAGAATGTGAGTGGTTAATTTAAAGGTGGTCTGATAAAGATATCGAAGCTTACTCAACACAGCATGAAGCAGTTTCTAATACACAATCTTACTAGTGGTGTTTCGGTCGCCAGCGCTCTCATAGGGGTGCTGATTTCAAAAACCACTACTTCAAATTATTCAACAATACTCAATGCGGCATGAAGCAGCTACTACTGCTGTATCTTACTGGTAGTGTTTTGGTCGTTGGCTCTTGCACAGTCTCTCAGATTTTCAAATTTTTTTTCAACACTATCTTGTTTCGCTCTCAGAAAGCTATCCTACAAAGACATCGAAGCTTACTCAACACAGCATGAAGCAGTTTCTAATACACAATCTTACTAGTGGTGTTTCGGTCGCCAGCGCTCTCATAGGGGTGCTGATTTCAAAAACCACTACTTCAAATTATTCAACAATACTCAACACAGCATGAAGCAGTTTCTAATAAATATATACATATATAAATATATACATATATAAATATATACATATATAAATATATACATATATAAATATATACATATATAAATATATACATATATAAATATATACATATATAAATATATACATATATAATATATACATATATAAATATATACATATATAAATATATACATATAAATATATACATATATAAATATATACATATATAAATATATACATATATACATATATAAATATATACATATATAAATATATACATATATAAATATATACATATATAAATATATACATATATAAATATATACATATATAATATATACATATATAAATATATACATATATAAATATATACATATATAAATATATACATATATAAATATATACATATATAAATATATACATATATAAATATATACATATATAAATATATACATATATAAATATACATATATATATAAATATATAAATAACAAAATACAATCAAAAAATAGTGTTTGGAAATTTAAGGTTAAGTGTCACTTTTTCGTAAATTCTACCACACTCTAAGTTTTCATACTGTACGGTTTGGTTTTGCAACTGTAAAAGTTTTTCTGCCTTTACATTTGCTTCAACTTCTTTTTTATACTCATCGCTATCCATATATGTCTTCAGGGCTTTTTGTTTTATTTCTTCATCTTTCAGTACCTTATATTGAGTAGTATGGTTTTTCAAATTTACAACATCTTGTTCCATTTTTGCTACTTCTGCTGCTTTTTCTGACACTTTTTTCGCATATTCCTCTGTACTTAGTTCTTTCAGTTGTTCTTCTTTCTTCTTTTTCTCTACGTTTAACTCATTGAGTTTCTTTGTGTGTCTGTCATATTCTAGTTTCTTTTCGTTTTCACCTATTTGCTTCTGTATGTCTATGTTTGACTTTTTGACATCTGCTATTTGATTTTTGAGTGAACTCAAATTCATTTGACTTTGAGGGTTATAGGCTGTTCCGTCTGCAGCTCCACCATAGCCTGCCATTTTCGCTAAAAGTGCCGCTCTTAAACCTCCACTCTGTGCACCAATGACTCGGTTTAAAAGCATAGGATTGCTTGACATTTGTTGCAACATAGTGGGGTCATTCAGCATTTGTTGTTGCAACTGTTGTTGTGGTGTCAGTTTTACTATTGGATGTTTCAATGCTCTCTTCCTCTTACGTATATTCTTACGTAGCTTACGTGGCATTTTAAGTGAAGTTAAAAACATTTACGATGAAGAAGTTTCGACAAAACATTTACGAAGAAATCATGAAAATTCAAGAGGGTAGAAATGAGGTTAGAAAAGAGGTTAGATCTAACCTTCTACCCTAAACATTATTTTTTGGTCATTTACGCTCATTACGAAGAAGTCTTGACAAAAAAGTCAACGGCTGGTCGGCTGGGGTTCGGTCCTCCTCTTGGGTAAAATTTCTTATGGGCTAGAAGGCACGAAGTGCCTGGAAGCCCCACTGCCTTTTTTTTTTTTTTTTTTTTTTTTTTTTTAAATAAAAAAATAAAATAATAAACATAACTAAGTTTTAATTTTTCGTAAGAAGTTTATTTTTTAAAATTTTTTTTATTTTTTATTTCATTATGGTAGTGAATCTTTTATTCATGAAAATAATTATATCTGATTTATTTTATTCTCTCGTACATACTAGATTTGAAGAATTCGGAACTTTTACCATAATCTCCGAGTGCGGGACAAATTTGCCAGATGTCACTTTTTCAATAACCTTAAATTACGCTTTTCTAATTTTAAAAAATAACCTTAAATTATATTTGAAGAAATTATGTCTATGATATATGTTTTATGCTAGAATCTTGGAGTTTTCATGCACTACACAAGAGCTCCAAGGTTCCAAGAGTGAATGCTCAATAGCAATTATAGAGATGTACCTTTTCAAAATGACTTTTACTGATTAAATTTAATCAATAGAAGACATTTTGAAAAGGTACCTCTACAATTAGATATACAAGAGATTCAAAGCTTCATTTCAGATAGATTTGAAACTTTGAAACTCTTGGTAGATTTTGAGTGAATGCTGACAATCATCTTTGAGAAGGTTTTCTTTAAGAAAACCTTCTCAAAGAGGTTTCTCAGGAGCCCTGAGGCTCCCTTTCGTAATGATTGGGAGCCTTGGGGCTCCTGAGACGAAGAATGGCTTCGCCGAATCTTTGATCAGCAGAGGCCAAATGAAAAGGCCTCTGCTGATGGATTCTCAGGAGCCCTGAGGCTCCCTTTCGTAATGATTGGGAGCCTTGGGGCTCCTGCAGCAGAGTATCGCTCCGCTCCATTAAATTTTTTTAAAAAAAGTGCCGTGTGGCAAATTTGTCCTGTTCCCATAATCTCCTAAATGTTTTCTTATCCCTAACGTGTGCCAGTTATTATATGAAACTGAATAAACTTTATCTTTATCTTTACACCTTTCATCACTTCCAATATATTTATATCTCAGTTTTGATTTAGCATTTTCATATTCATTAGCGTTTAATAATTCACAGTCTTCCTTTTTAAATTGATGTTTAAGATATTCAGGATTTAATACTCTACGTTTATATGCTCCTAACTTAGTTCTAAAGGTTTTTCTACAAAATTTAGGAATTCCATCCTCTTTAATGTCATCAATGATTTCCATTTCATTATTTTCAATTTTTTCTTCTCGTTTATGAGGTCTTTGATTATGACTCCATTGATTCCATGAAATTAAATATTCTTTATCATTATATTTATACCTCATTAGCTTATTTTGGCTTTCATATTCATTTAATAATTCACAATCTTCATTTTTAAATTGAAGTTTAACCCATTCAGGATTTAAACAATGTTTAATTAATCGCGGAATATCTGACATCATCTATATATAGCTTCTTTTATAAAAGATAAAAAAATAAATTATTTTAAAATTAATGTTAATTTTTTAATAATTTATAAATAAATATATTTTAATGCATCGTCTATATATAGATGTAACAAAAAAGTCACTAAACCCGTCATATCCTACTACTAAGATTTAATTATCGAATCAAAATTATATAAAACATCGCGAAGGAGTAGAAGGTTTGCCTACATCCATGATGTGTCAAAAAAATCTTATTATAAATAATTAAAAAAAAATAACTGATTTGTTTACAAAATAGAAGGTGGAGTTGAGAGTATATTAATTACAGCCTTTGGCCTCATCTTCGTGAAAGCAAACGCGAATATTGCGATACTTGAAGCAATAGATATAATCATGTACGAGAAAGGCCTGAACAGGAAGAAATTGTCCCTGTACAAGTTGATTTTGTTTCCTGCACAAACTCTTTTCGTTCCAATGTGGTCAGACAGCATGTTCCAGATCAACCACGCACTGTCTGCTGCATCCTTTGACTTGTTGTAGTACTCCAATACGTTCTTTCCCTGCAATGCTTGTGATGTTGCTGCAGATTGATTAGATCTGAAGTCCTGGAAGTACCTTTCGAGCTGGTTAATTGTGTATTGGTCTGTAATCTCTAATCCGAGGCCGAGAACTTCGCGGACGTTGTTTATTACGTGTGTGAAATTCTGAACTAAATCTAGGAATGGATAAACAACGCTGTTCCTTCTGATAATCATTTCTGTAAATGGTGTGGCCTCTCCGAGAATGTCGAAACCGAAGAACGAGTGAATTAAAGCTTTTTGTAAATCTTGGAGCGAATTTTCGGAAACAAATGCAACTTCGTTATCGCCATATAAAAAGTTGGCTGGACATGTAGCTGGTAATACGAAAACTGGGAGTACATCGACTTCTCTCGCAAGATGATACTCTGGAGTGCGAACTAGCCAATCTCTGACGCAAATACTGTCTTCACAGACACCACAGATGACTTCTAATGACTTTATTTCGTATGTAAGGTGCGAAACGTTGGCTCCTCTGTATGAAGCAAAATAATTTTGTACATCTCGAATAATATTGGCATCTGGAGGCGATTTGTGGTAGATAATAACATTCTGTGCTTCTTTTTCTGTAATACTGTTAAGAGGTCTGAAGCTGAGAGGGTGATCAAATAAATCCGTTAAAACTCTCTTAACAGAGTCGATAATTAAGTATGCGATCTTACTATTTTCGTATACTATTTCGTCTTTGCAAAATGAAAGGGCTACCCAGCCATTTCCTGTTGCAAATAACCTCGAATTTCGTTCCGCACAATTTTCTTGTTTTACAATGTAAATTGCTAAAATAGCTTTGTTATTATTGAAGTGTTGCTGTATTAATTCTTTGTTTCCTTCAGGATTCTTGTTTAAGTTTAAAGTGATTAATTCAACTGAAGTGTTAAAGATTTGGTGAACATCTTGATCACCTTCGATGACGTTGATTTTATGCATGTATCCACGCTGAGAATAAAGAACAGAGATAAGCTGCTCTTCAAGTTTTTTATCGAAACCAACGCATCTTAATTTAATTTCTGTTGTAAATGTCGTGAGGATATTTCCTGACACAAATGTCCTCGAAAGTGCTAAAGGAGCACTCCTCTGAAGAGAAAGAAGAAACGAAAACAAAAACATTTTTTTTTATTTTGAAATTTTTTTTCGGATTTCTAATCATGAAAATTAATCTTGATTTGAAATATCACTATAGCAGGACTCTCATCTTCCAGTAAAACATCATTTGGAATATGATTGAAATTCGTTTGATTTTAAAAAAATCAAAGGATCAGACTAATTTTGCTTGAGATGAAATGTAAACAGTGTGCCTTTATTGCTTTTGAACAGCTTCTATCATGTTTTATAATTGGTGAGAAATCACAAATTTGAAAACAAAATTCACCTAAATGATGCCCTATTTATTGTATTTAGTAGGGTTATCATACTAAACAACAGTCTATTTGATATGATAAAGAAATAAAAAGATGAATCAAGATTTTAAAAAATACGGTGTAATTACTAGTCTTTGGCATGCATTAATTATTTATCTGAGTTGAAATATATGAGTTGTAGAGATGTTTCAACAATTTATAAAAGAATAAAAAATTAATTCAAAAGTAATAACAACAATTTGATATAAATTTTAATTCTTACAACAATTAATGATTAATAAAGTACGAAAGAACTTAGTGCTGTAGATATAAAATAATATTTGCAAAATATTATTGTTAAACACTAAAAAGTACTTAAGCTACTCTGCATGCTCCCTGGTTATCCTCTGGCTTGGCTTGCATGCTGTCTTCGTCGCCTCCCAAATCTAATTCTTCGAATTCGTTGACGAAGAAAGCATCTCCGCCACGAGGAAGTTGGTTTAATGATGTCATGTACTTTGATTGTAATATTGAGGCGAGATGTGTAAATAATGCCTTTAAATTGAGATTTTCTTTGACACTTATTCTAAATAATGGTGCATCAAAGCGTTTTGACATAGTCTGGGCTTCTGCAGGATCAATTGCGTATTTGTCTGTAAGATCAACTTTGTTTTCCACTAAAACAAATTGAATTGGTCCTGTAACTTTTTTAACTGCGTCAACCCACGTTGGTATCGCATCAAATGAAGCTTTATCAACTGCAGAATAAAAAATAACTGCAATGTTTGCGTTAACATACGCATCTTCTGCTAAAAGATGAAGACACTCACGTCCTGGTGTATCCCATATCATTAAATCTATTGTTTCGGCTGTTTCTTTAAGATCAAATGACTTCTCATGAAATTGTGAGACGAGAGATTTGATATGTGTATCTGGGAATTTTCCATATAAGAAACGCTGCATTGCGGATGTTTTGCCAACGCCACTATTACCTACAACAACAACTTTAAATCCGAATCCAAACTCAGATTCCGCCATTTAAATAAAAATGATTTTTTTTATAAACAACTATTCAGTGTTTACATTTCGCTTTACATGGCAGAAATATTTGCTCTAACTGATTGACATGTAATACAACAATAGAGACCGAATAGTATGGTTTATTTTATCAATAAGGAACTTAACCTGTGGGAAAATTCAAAATAATACTGTAAGATGTTGAAAAATTAAATTACCCTCAGAAATTGAGGCAGTTACTTGAGTATATAGAGAGAACAGAGACAAAAGGTATCATGGATTATATACAATATACGCTTATATTAAGACTTTAACATCACCTATTGAACACTGTGTTAAAAGTAATAATCTTGTTGCATTTCATTTTGTTATCAATAGTATGTTGATATGCTAAATGATGATCACAAATCATCGATAAAAATTATTTTTATATGAAGTGTCACTTTTTAGATACTTGAAGAATGCAAATCGAATCTTTTCTCTTAATGAATGATAAAGAGGAAATATTATTCTCGGCTAGTGCTACTAGGCGTGCAAAGCCATGGGAGGTTTATCTTGAAGAAATTAATCAATTAATTCCACAAAAGAAAGCAAAAACTGGTGAAGAATCAAAGAAACCTGAAAAACAAATATATTTTTACGATGATGTTGTAATTGCAATTCGAGAAATTAAGCCACTCAAGCTCCTTGTCACAATTCCTGCAAATTCTTTGGCAAAGGTTGAGCCAACAATTTCTGCAGTTCTCGATCAGCTCGAAAAAATAGTTAAATTCTGCTGTGATGGAGAATTCTCACAAGAAACAATTACAGAAAGAGATCACTATATCCGCTTGCGAATGCTTTGCCAGAAAGAATTTACTACAAACGGTTTTATGAGATTTATCCCAGAAAGCGAATTTAATGAGGTTGTCGCTTTCTAAATTGTTTTTATATATCATTTCAATAGAAAACAATATCGCAATCAGATAAATGTTATTCTTGTTAAAAATAAAAAGATTTTACTTCAAACTGCTTGTTTAATTCTTTATTTTATTTCATAAAATAAAATATGCAAATATTGATCTTAAAAAGTTGAAAATAATCATCCAACAGTTGTCAAATTAACAGAAGTATAAAAAATTAGCTTTGTTCTGATTCATTATGTTGAGTTTATTTTTATTTCCGTTTTGATGTAAAAATTCCGATAAATTTCTGAGTAATTTCGGAATAAATAATAAATTGGTGTCATGGAGCCTGATAATCTAGAATTTCGACAGAATTCAGGCAGCTCCATCACCTTTGATGACTTTGTTGAACCATTTAGCGACATTCTTGATATCAAAAAGAAGATTTTGAAGGTTTCTCAAAAAGTTATTAGATCTAAAACGCCAACACATACGTATTTTCAAACATTTCGCAAACTTTTACTCAAGTGTTTTGATATTCCGAACGATTCAGACATAAATATCAATGAATATTCAAAAGAAGATTTAGAAGAAATTTACGAATTGGTGGAATCAATAGATTTGAAGATTCGCACACTCAACATCTTCCAAAAAGCATATAATCATCCAAGAATGGTCACAATTGCACCAAAATTACAAATATGGAGAAAAAAACCACAATTTATAGAAATTTCGCCAATTAAAAACAAAAAAACTGCAGTTGAGGAGTTTTGCGACATGTTTCCCGTACATGTTACTCCATTCGAAGTCATTGAAGCAGCTTCTAGATTGAGAAAAATAACTCCTGATGAAAAAAGAGAACTTTTACTAAGACTCAAAACGAAGCCATATGCACCAAGACCTAGCACTGTTATGCATTTCATAGCTAACCGTATTTGCAAAGGAGCTTACACAAACATTTCAAATAATTCTTATAAATTTAAAATTTCGTATATTCGCAATGCAGGTTGCACTGGGTGTGATGCAAATGCCCAGAGTGTCTTGAACACATCATGGGAAAGTGCCCCTCCTTTAATGAAAGGATTTATGTCGAAATTATCTCCAAATTTAGCTAATTTAAGGGATTTTGAAGATAAAATTTCAGATAACAATGCGGTAATGAACTCAATTTTATCGGCTTTTCATGATTTGTTTCTTTATTCTCAATATTGTCCTTTAATTTCAAATAATTTTCAAAATTGTTTGGACCTACTTGGCATTCCTGGAAGATTAGTTGTTAAATTATTATTCTATTATCCAGATATCGTCAAAGAATACTATTTCGAGTTCTTTTCAGAACTTTTTGGAGAATTTTATCATAGAAATTTGATGTTGATGAGTACAAATAAGTTTGCGAAGTTGGAAAACTCATATAACACAAGCAAATTGACGATTTTCCCAGTAACTAACCAAAATTATGGAAAGAAATTTAATGTTTTATCAATTCAACCGAGAATCAATATAGAAAACTTAACTTACATTACTTCAATGATAACTATTATCGCAGAAGTCCGCCATATCGATTTTTTGTCCATTAATCAACAGGTTTTTGCCCATCAAAAAATAATTTCTTGGTTGCGAAACCCAATTTCGAATTTGAGACTTTCATTTCGTGATTCACTGCTATTTGTTGTCGAATCCAATCTTTGTAACGCTCTTGATGCAATCAGAGATATGGAATTTCCGAATACTTCTCAACTGGATAATTTTCAGACGAAAACTACTTTTATCAAAAATGTTTTCACTGATTTTTATCTCGACATATCTCGTTCTAAGTATTCTAATCAGGTTTGGCTCCACAAAAAGATTTTAAGTATTATGGAAAACTTTAAAGATATTCCAATGACTCGTGTGTTAGATCTACTTTTCTGCTCATATGCGTTGTATACAGTGATTGTAAACTTCTTAATCATTGAAACTTCTCCAAATTCAACGATTTCGATTGAAAATGAAGCGATTGTTGGGAGATACGACGACGGAGAAGAAGTTTTCTATTCACAAAATATGCCTATTTTGATTCCATCCATGCAATTTCCTTCATATTTGGAAGGAAAACAAATTGTTGCCTAATTTTGTTATAATTAAACATGTTATATTGTTTTGTTTGATAGAATAATCAAAAACCTTTTTTTGAACATTGTAATTCATAACCAAGTTCGATATCCATATTTGTTTACAGACTTTGATTCATTTTCCACTTAAAAATATATTTAAAATCTAATGTGTATCTATTTGTTTTAGTTGTTCATATAAAAATCAACATTTATTTCAAAATTAAGGTTTGGGGTTCTTATTTAGCAAAATCGAAGAGTGTCATAAGGAATTCCAGGTTCAATTAACCTGATCGATGTCAAGATCTATCACAAATATAGAAATTGCTTGAATTTGATAATAGAGAACGATTTCGGTGAGTTTATTTTAGTATAGGATATTATTTACTTCATATACATTTTTGGAACAAGACTACGATTAACTTTCGTTGAATAAATGACGAATAGAATGAAATTTCAACCAAAACAAAGTTACAGGTCTATAAAGGGAAAGGATTAGAACATTTATCTAGAAATTGATGTTCAATATATATTTCAATTTTGGAACGCCAGATTGCCTTTCATACTTAATGTGGAAATTTCATCAAATTCCATTGATCGATTTTTCGGCACACACTCTAATTGCGTACATTTGTTGGTCTGATATGGCATTATCAATATGAGACATTCCATATTTAGTTTTTTCCTGTTCTTTGAAATTCAATTTTATAATCGGTCTCTGAAAACAAGTTATTTGAATGCAGCAAGAGCATGTATGTTAAAATTAGAATAGTTTTTTGAATAAACTAATGAAGGAAATTAAGTGTCAAAATTGAATATTTCACATTACAATATATCTTATCAAATTGAGAGGAAAATTGGTCGGCTGAAATTGGATCGAAAACATATTCTGATCAGTAAAACAACAATAAATAACAAAATGATGGTTATTCATTAGTTCTAAATTTCTGAATAATTTGACATTCTTTACTTGAACTTCCAATGAGCATTCATGAAAACATGGGTCCGGCTGTTCCACAGGAGTATACATTTATACGACTTGCAAATATGGGCAGTACATGTTACATAAACAGTGTCTTGCAAAGTTTATTCAACACAGATATGGTTGCTAACTTTTGTTGGCATTACAGCGATACAATTAAAAAGCATGGACTTGAAAAGTTAGTAGACAGAACTCCGCTTTATTTATTCAGCAAAATTTACATAGATTCGCAAAATGCACCCCAAAACGAGGTTTATTATACACCAGACTATTTTCTGAACGCATTATACGAATCGACTGATAAATTCAAATGGAATGAAATGGGAGATTCCCATGAACTCTTTTTGTATCTATTACAAAATTTTGATAATTCAATAAACGAGATCAATTCGAGGCTAGGCAATGAAAAGTTACCACTATTTTCCTCATTTTTCATGTGTGAAACGTCCTCAATTGCATCATATAACGGTACAATAACAGATGATTCGAAAGACATTGTACCAATCATCGGATTGAATGCCAAAACAATGAAAGACTCAATATACTACTGGGAAAATGGTATTGATATCCAGGATTTGAACGAAGGAATAGATATTAATCGTAAACTTACAAAATTCCCAGATGTTTTGGTTCTCATGCCAAGGGTATTCACTGGAGTGTCTAAATGTATGGATAAAATGAAGCCAGAATTTAAGATTACGATTTCCGGCCAAGAATACTCCCTCAAATCAATTATCGTTCATATCGGCAATGACCTTAATAGTGGGCATTATATTTGTGTCTTTGAAGTATCAGAAAGATGGGTTTACGGTGATGATGCAGAAATGAGACCATTAAACGATACAGAGTACCATACATTCTTCGAAACAGGATATTTGCCAGGTCAGGATACTGCTATATCGTATATCTTCTTCTACGAGCTTTTATAATATTCAATATATTATTTATTGTCATTTTAAACATTTTTATTCCTTCAAAAATTGTTTTTATCGATTGTTTTTAATCAATTTACTAAATTTTTCTTCATTCTTTATAACTTGATTCAAAATTATTGAATCTCAATCATTATATCTCAGATAATTTGTGTGATCATTTGACAATCAATATATATAATACTAATAAATGATTTTTTAAATGACTGAGAATAATTTTTTGAATATGGAGAAATTTTTTCAAATTATAGAACTATTTGAAATACAATAGAGAACAACACTGATATGGAAGTATAGGATATCAAAGAGCCTTTATAATGGTAATATTATGATGGACAAATGCTAAAATTTGACTCAGTTATAATCAAATTTTTGATCTCAGGGATATTGAAAAAGTAAAAATTTGAGGGTATCGAAATTCTCAAAAATTACAAATACAGAGTAAACAAAAAGTAATGAGGCATCCCCTAGTTTTTATGATAGTTTTTGATAAAGTGTCTCATTACTTTTTGGATACATTGGATATATGATAATATTTCCTATTTTCCCTTCATAGAGATTATCTAACTCCAATTGATTTTAACCAATATCTTGTTTCTCTATTTTGAGCTAATTTAAGTGCTGTTTTGCTTCATATTCTTTTCTTCTTTACTTCCTAAAAAAGAAACAAGATTTTTATCGAATTCAAGATGCATTATTAGGCTTTGCCTCTTTATTAGCTATAAAATGGATAAGATCTTTTACTGATTCAAGATAAAAACAGAACATTAAAAGAGAGACAGGAAACAAGGCATTTTCCCCTATTACGTTTTGGTATTTTTAATCTCAAATGATAAAGCAAAATGTCATTTTCTCATAAAATGGAACAAAGTTTGTTCGAAAAAGCCATTGGAAGATATAAATCATTCATCGAATTTACAATATTCTTTTTTTAATATAGACTTATTATTTGATTGGAAATAATGACGATTCTTTCTGATATATTGATCATATAAGAAGAGAGCAATGTCATTGCGGTTTTATTGAAAATTTTAATTTAAAAAAAAAACTATCTTCAATGTGGAACTACATCGCACTTAATAGAAATACTTTTTACGCACATGCTCTGGCAAATTCAAGGCCAGAATATCTGAGATCATTTGGCTTTTCAAAAGGAGGAGTTATGGAAATTAATTTTTCTGGAGATAGTATTTCTGGAATTTTGATGTATAATCCTAGCTATTATGATGTATTTAGACCAAAGCAGATCTGTAATAATAATTTCGTTTACTATTCGGATTATAAATTAATTAATTCAATAAATAATACATTCAGAATTGTTTATAACAAAGAGTTAACTGTCACTCCAGCGGTAATTAATTGCAACAATACAGATATTATAATTTCCTACAAATATACAAATCCGATTAATGTTGAAAATAATATACTTAGATTGCCAAAGTTCTTGCTCCCAATTATTATAATCAATGCAGTTTTTACAATATATTACTTTAAAATGGTAAAAAGTATGTTAATTAAAACATCTTCAGTAATTAAAGTTTTATCTCTGGTAGTTTTTTCTTATTTATGGTATAATCCATTGGCCATAAAAAGCAGTTGGGAATTTCTGGAATACATCTATCCAATTGGAAATACTCTTCATATATTCTTGTTGATAATTTCATTTTATTATTTGGATTTCAGAAATTTAAAGGATAATTTTTGGGCCATGGACATCCCTTATTTTAGCATTCAATTTGCTTTCTGTATTACAAGAAATCTTATTTTTTATTTTTCATTGACGGACACAAATCAATGGTGGTGTATGCTTATTGAAGAAGGAATTCTAATTCTCCAGGTATTTATTACTGTTGCAATCCAATCTTGCTCTCGTTTCATCCTAGTATTGCAGGCATTGTATATGCTAATAAATTTGGTAGTTTTTATATTTATCCCACCATATAGCTTTGTTTTTAGAATTGTATCATATGAAATTATGAATTTGATATGGCATTTTATTGTAATAATATTTGGTCACGACTTCCATGAATTGTTTGGTTATAAATTATTATATTCTATCGAATAAAATGTAATTACTTGGAATACTTATATAGTGTTAGATTAAATATATAAATTCAGTATTAGAATGTATATATGGTTGAATCTAATTCTTAGAAATGTGATGGAATTTCATTGAATATTATGAAAAGAAATGAAAAGTAAATTGTGGTGTAAATATAACACTCAAATGAGAATGATCTAATCATAGTCAAAATGGATGTTCGCAATTATAGATGATAGCAAAGAATAATACATCTGTTTCATTGAAAAAGAAATGATCAATATATCAATTGAGAGAATTAAAAAGCCATATATAGTATGAAAAAATAAGTTGTTGTATTTTTGATGAATGAATGCAATGAGGAGATTGAATTATATTATTGCGTGTATCATAATAATCTTGATTCATTTTGTACTCAATAAAACACATGAAATTACTAAATGGCTTTTCATTCAGTATTATATTTATCATTTCTTTAATTTTGGAATTCTTTCACTTGATTCAAATATCAATGAAAAAGCTAAATAAGGAAAAACTGTTCTTCATTATGCAGTAAATTGTAAAGAAACAGTTATACTAGTTTTAACATTGCCCAATATCAATGAAAATGATTAATTTGGGAAAAACTGCTCTTCATATTGTAGAATTTAATTTTGATATCATTAAATTAGATATAGCATAGGAAGTAGCCCAAAATTATTAAAAAACATTTTATGTTGAGAATAATCTCATTTAAACACAACAAAAATACGAAACTATTTGCATTGTGTTTAAATGAGATTGCAAATGAAAAAAAAATTGGTGATAATTCACTTTTCAGGCATCAACATTGGATATCCCGAATTGTTAATCAAAATGGTTTATTCAAATCAATTACTCTGTTCAAATTGATTTGTAGTGAAGATAAAATAGGTTTGAATGAATAACTTATGCAACAATGGGCCATTCCTTTAGATAATAACTCAAAATTGCTAATTTATGCAATCTAATTCGGATCATTTTTCTGATTTTTTTATTCAAAATGTAACAATCTGAAATCAAAAAAGTGACAATGAGTAAAGAATCTCCATTAGACTTTGATATAGATATTATTCCTCTGACGCCTCCACCAGAGTATGGAATATTTAACTGTGGAGATAGCTTTGATTTAAAAGTTAAAATTACGTCAAAAAACGGATCTTTTTCCCATAAAGGAATATTTTTCGAATTTTCAACAGATTTTATAGGTGAAAACGGAAAACCTGTTCACCTTGAACAACCTGTTAGTACGCAACTTGTTCCTTCCGGATCTTTTACAGGATCAATGGAATGTCAGTTACCACAGATTACAATTCCAAATAAAATTCAGACATATCATGGAAAGTTATTCGCTATTAAGCACATCCTCAAATTTGTTGCAAAGAAGTCATTTAGTTCGATTGAATATCAAGAAGAAATTAAAGCCTATAACTACACGCCATGCGTTACAAAATTACAACCCCTTTGCGTTAGAGTTGCTGTTACAGAAAATCTTAGAATCGATTTGATCATTAATCGTCGAAAATTCGAATTACGCGATGTAATCTTCGGAGCAGCCCATTTTCTTTTGGTTGCACTCAAGATTACTAAGTTTGAAATACAATTAATCGCTCAAGAAATATCAGAACGAGATGGAAAACCACAAAAATGCAAAAATGTTGTTCATTCATGGCAAGTAACGGATGGAGCTCCTGTTAAAGGTGAAATGATCCCATTTAGACTTTTCTTGTCTCCGTTAAACTTAAGCCCAAGCTGTGTAGACCAAGTAAATGGTTTTTCAGTTTCCCACTTCTTACATTTTATCATTTATACGACTGGAAGACAGAAATACTTCAAATCACTACAGATTAAGCTCGGAAAGTGGAATTCTATGCCATTCCAATTTTCTGAATAATTTTTTTGCGTTTTATTGTTTAGAATAAAAGGTTTATGTTTTAAAATCTTCAACTTTATTTTTTAGATGCTAATTTAATACTTTCATTATAGAACATTAACATGATTCTCGAGATATCTGATTGGTCAATCAGAAAACAAGAAATACATTATGAGGATGAAATCTACTATTTATATTAATCGATCTCTGTCATAAAAATTTTAAATTGGACAAATTTTCACTTTCATATCAGGAAATAAAAGAAAAGATTTTAGTTGCAGATATCTGCAAGATCTATTTAATAAAATTTGTAATTATTTATCCGAATCTCGATTGAAAGTAAAGGAATTATATTTATGACAATAATTTTCATCAAAGTTTTATTAAATTTGACAATATCTAAATAATATTCTTACTGGAATTGCTCCTTGACAGACTCTAAGTACTTGTTGGCAGCTGGAACCAATCTAGCTGTTGTTGCTGGGAGATCGAATGTAAAGAGAAGGACAATTGGCTTCTTTTCAGCTGAGCGTTGTGATTTGATGAGGCAGAAACCATTTGTCTTCTTTATATTTGGATCGGCGCGACCATATAAGAGTCCATCATAAAAACGATGAACATGATAATGGACACCGTCGTATGTTAAGCCGGCTTTGATTGTTTCATCAAAATCCTTGAATAAACCAAGCCATGTTGTTATTTCTTCTGGTTTAACTTCTGTTGTAGAAAGGAGGTTTGTTCCATCTTCTGTAAAGAGTACAAAGTTTTGCCAGTCTGGATTGCTCTGCTTAACAGTCTCAATTGTTGGGGCGCTCATTTGTGATTTAAAATTTATGAGGGAAAATCAATTTTCTATAGGTATTCAAAAATTTAGCGATCCAAAAATTATTAACTACACTCTTCATCAAAATGCACATATTTTTTGTAGCGAACATTTTTGGGAGTTTGGTCAAATGTTTTTATGAATCTCAAAGATATTTAGATATTTGTGTAAATCCACTCATAGCATGAGTTTTGGAACTCATGTTGTTTTAAAAATTTGTCATTTATGAATCAATGATTGATTGCCTAGCGTGATATTGCTACCATTCCTAATATTTCGATCTTATTCGAAGCAAATGTGTAAAATGGCGGCTAATTTGTTTGAGCAATTCGATGTGCAATAACATTGCCAATTCAGCGATCTTGTCAATCACCAATACTTCCTTTTATTTCGCACATATTAAACATGTGTACTCAAGTGAACATTTCTTTATATTAGAAAAGCGAAAATCTATTTATTTGGCTTATATTTCAACATTTTGAGTTAATCAAAAAAACCTTGAAATCAATTCATCTTAATACCTTCCTATATTGTAATTAAATGGATATTAGCACAAAGAGCCTGGAAGAATTAATAATAAATGAGATTTTAATAAAATTTTTTAACAGATCAATAGATTTTTAAATAAGATGTATTCAATGTTTGATGTCCTTAAAAATATATTATTTCCAATATATGAAATTACTAGAATAGATAAATAAATTAATATAACAAAACATTTTACAAAAAGAAACAATATAATATTAGTAAATGAATAGTACAAAACGAATTATATAATAATCTATAAGGTTAAAGGTCGAATTTGGTATGAAATTTGTATTTTTGGGAAATCGAGAAATAATCATTTCTTCTTGTTTTTATCTAATTTCATTCTACTCCTAGAGCGCCTCTGATTATTCTTCTGAACTTCTTGAAGCAATTCATCAATTCTTGCATCCTGTTTTGTAATAGAGGCAATTTTAAGCATTACATCATGTGTTTCTTGCTCTATGCGCTTCTTTTCATCTACTTCATGTTGATATTGTTCGACTAATTGTTTATATTGTTCAATAAGCTGTTGTCTGTTTTCGAATTTTGCTGCGTCAGAAAAAACTGAAAGATCTGATAAAGATGATATTGCGGAAAGATTTGATTTTTGTGGCTTAATTGATTTTCCTTGAGGAGAAGATTTGCTCATGTAAAGAAATGTCAAAAATTTTTTTCTGCAATTTCGAAACATTTTAGCATATAAGATTGAGCATCATTCATACTGCATCACATTGAATTCTATTACAATTCTCAATTTTTTTTTTCAAAATGAACTAGGGAAATTATCGAATTATGATTTCAAATATATCGGAATTGATCGCTTTTCATATCGTTGCAAGTCCGATCATGCCGATAGGCCATTCGAAAATTTTTCATAAAACCAGGTATCCTTGCAGTATTTATATTCACTGCATTTGAAACCGTCAATATTTTTCCTAAATAATTTGTTTTTGTGAAAATTAATTCGAAAATATAATCATATTTCTTTCTTTTGTATTTTAATATGTAACAGTTATAAAATGGATTAGATTTACAGATTTAAATATTTCCAAATTTTTTGTAAATCATGAATTTTGGATATTATTTTAACATTTTTGTAAATTATTTTTAACTTTTCGATTTTTTTTTGGAACTTTCCATTTCATCAGATAGATATAATTTCATTTCCATAATATTATCTAGCATGTTTCAAAATGAATTTCGACTCCATATGATAATTATGATAAAATTTTCTGAATTCTCTTTATACAGTCTTTATCTCTTAAGCGTTCTATTACTGGAGATCAATGTAATATAACTTGTTCTTATTGTTTCATTTCATTATTGAACAATGAATTACAATCCATTCAGACGAACGCCACCGCGACTCACACGGGAACAAATCATTGAGAACGAAATCAACAAGAAAAAAGAAGAATTACAAAGAACTAATTTTAGCTCCTCTCCATCCAATGATATCCAATTTATATCTTCGGAATCTAAGATACCAACTAAATCACCATCATTTGTTTCAGAAACACACAAACCTCGAACGAGACCATTATTTTCCGAAAAATATTCTTCTTCAAAAAATAATGATAGTTCCGAGGAAGAAATCATTATTAAAATCGAAAATACCAAAGACAAAAAGACCAGAAAAGCAAATTACGTGTACAACCAAATCGTTTATTGCCCTAGCTTAAAGCAACATATCGTTTATTGTGGAATCAATACGGAAGGTAAATGCGTTTGTACTGGATTCAATAAGGTTACAGCATATGAATTAGATATGGATCAAATACAGCCAAGTCCGGAAAAATTTATTCCAAAATTATACGATGATCTCAATCAGGCAATCAAAAATAGACCAGTTACTGAAAGTGAGTTCATTAAGTTATGCAAGGAAAAATAACTTTTTGAATTTCAATCATAAATTTTGTACAAATTTATTCATTTTCAACTACCAAGCAACAGAGGAATTGCACACTTAATTTACGTAATTTCATTACAATATTTAAGCTGTTCATATTATATCCATGAAATTGCTAATTAATGCAGGCTTCGCAAGCATTCTGATATCAAAAATCATGATTTACCATAGTTTTTATCTAATCCAAGTCTTACAAGTTTCTATTTCTTAAATAGAAAATGAATTGTTCACAATTTTGACTTGCGCAATGAAGGATAGTCCATACCAGTGATTTTTACACATATATATTTATATTTGTTGAATAAAAATTCATCAAAATTAAATTTTTATTTGATAAAATCAACAAACAAGTTTAGATTAATTGTAATCATGTTTAAGCTCCATGAGCGTACTTAATTTGTTAATGATTTCTGAGATTATTTTGAAATAATTTATGATAAAAAAATATTTAAATTTTAAAATAAATTAAACTCAAGTTTTTACTTTTTTGCTTTTTGCTTATTAAGTTTTTCTTGGTATTCTGCTCTCATTATACTAGCTCTGTGCATCAAACCTTTTCCAGCTGGAGTTTCGAGTCCTTTTACCTTTGCTTCTTTCTCATCTTCGACAACCTGAGCTGCTATCTTCTTATAGTAATCAATTACTGAAATCTTTTGAGATTTCAATTGATCTCCAATTAAATTACGTTTTTCTTGCAATTTCTTCTGCATTTCTTCTAATTTTGGAGTTGGTTCAACACCACAACCTATAAAAGCATCAGTAGTTAGCTTTCCAACTTCAATTAATTTATCAATTAATTTAAGTGACATCCACCTCTCTAATTCCCAATCATCGAGTAATTTGAAAGGTATATCACCGAATTTAGGTATCTTCGCACAGAGATGGTACACTTCTTCCTTTGACATTTCGGACATTTGCTTCAATCCCGATTTCTTCTTAGGAGCAGCCGCTGGAACCTGTACAGGTTTGACAGGCTTTTCTTGTTGGACATTCGGTTCTGGGAAATGTGAGAAGGAACTGCCTGGTTTTACTCTTAAATAATTTAATTTCAAAACTTTGAGGCATGGCTCGAGAATAGGGGTGTTAACCTTGAGAGAAATCTCAAGAGAAAACTGTTCGCCCTTAGGTGTGTGCTCTGTAGGGTCGAGCGGGTAAGTTTTCGTAACTTCTGTCAATTTCGAAACAATTCCAATAGGAACTTTGCAATGTCCGACAGGAACAACTGTAGTTTTGAATAATCCTTTATCGTGCATAACTAATTCGAATCCAATCTCTTTTCTTTCTGCAAGTCTTTGCATTAATTTCGGATTTGATCGTTTTAAGATATTCCAATCACAATGCCAGTCAACAGCACCAGCATCCAAAGGTTCTGATGTTTTTGGTGGAGTTTCTCTGGCAATGGAGTAAACATTGACTGTATAAGTTATTCCTTTCTTTTGAGGCGCTCCAATGTTGCTGACGCAGCAGCGAAGAGTTGTGATAGGGATATCCTCGTTCTTAACTGCTTGCATGACATCGAGATCGCCAGTTGTCAATTCAGGTGGAATTAATCTTTTTTCAATAGACTTTGCATAGATTGCGCATGAATTTTGAGATATTTCGAGAGCCTGCTTCATATTTTTAATTGAAGTATTGTCTTTTGTCTTTGTAATAATCGGAATATGATCTTTTAATGTTTGCAATCCTGTATTTATTTTTTCTAATGTGCCAAATGTCTTAATATCATTTGCTTCAGGAACTTTATCGATGCCTGTAGAAGCATATTGACATAATTTCTTAAATTTGGCAATATATTCCTCTGCTGCTTCGTTATCACCGGCAATACGTGCATTCATTGCTTTCTGAATGTAACGCATGCCACAATTATAAACATGATGAATTTGTTCTGCACTCATTTTCGATTAAAAAAATATGAAGAAAAATTCCGATGAAAAAATATTTGACATAAAAGTGACGACTTTCATTTCACTTATTTTATATCTTGATGTACGAGCTTAGCAATTGCATAGGCAAACAAGTTTCCAACTGAGAAAGTTCCTTCTCGCCAGCAAACTTTAATTTTTTTCTTGCTGATATTCATTTTGCTTCAGATGTTAATATTGGAGCTGGACATTTTCATCAAATGCTTTTGCTTCATAATAGTTTCTCATTATAAAGTTTGCGTCTGAAAGTACCAGACTCACAAGTTGAAATGCTCATTTTTTTTGCAAAAAAATCAGATAATCAAAAGAAAGTATTTCGGAATTAATCTGATAGTAGGTAATCACCTATGCGTAAGCGAAAAATGCTATATATTTAGTATAAAAACAATAATGATACATTATTTATTAATAAAACTGATATAACATACATGACTGAAGTAATTTATACACCACATGTAAAGCAAACGCTAAAGAATGGGTGTGGTCGATGACACTTTGGACAAGCAATAAATAATTTCTGATTTTTGTCTTCTAGTATATGGTTAATGCAATAATCTGATCCAGGCAATGCAACATTGATACAGTTTTGGCAATGACAAATCTTCTTTCCATCCTTTATTTGTTCGTGCATTTCTTGGCGCCATCTCTGTCGTAAAGTATATATAACCTTCGATTTTCTCTAAAGGCTCATCATTTATTATTCTTTTGAAGGCACCAGACATTGTTTCATTTTCGGCTCTCTGCTTTTCGCCCTTGACCTGGTTAATATAGTATTGCCGTAAATGTAAGTATCTGTCTTCGTTTGATTCAGGATATGAAACATCACCTGCAGCCTGGTACATTTATATATGAATTAAAATTTTTGAACTTCCCTTTAAGATCAATAGGATTTTTTGTATCTTGAGCATCACTTGGTGGGTCTTCTGTCGGAATATCAATTTCATTTCCTTCAAGAAAGTATCTAACAGATTGATTCATTATAAGTTTGTCAATTTTCTAACGCAAAATTTCAAATTTTGAGTTTTTACGAGTTTCTGTTTGTTATTAGTGGACAAATTTATGATAGATACATTAGACTCATAGTAGCAGAAAGATTGTATAATGTAAATATACCAATTCACAAAACTTTTTTGTGGGATAAATTTTCTTCCATGTAAAAATTGGAATTGGAAGCTTATCGACCATATTACATCTCAATGTGAAGTCATTTTTTTCAAAAGATAATCAAATAGCATCATATATTTCAATTTTTCGGATTTTTTAAAGGTAACTAAACTCCTTTCGCCGATCCGATTTGCCCCATATTTAAAATATAGCTTGCATATGTAGAAGAAAAGCTAATTTTGAAGTACGCCCGAAATCCACCAACAGGATTTCGAGCTACTAAAAAGGTACTTTTAAATGTGATTTTTTTTATAAAAAATTAAATTTATTTTAAGATCAGACTAAAAACTAATTTTATGGAAAATCTATATCGACAAATTTATTACTTATTGGGTATATAGATTTTTTGATTATGGCGATTATGTCTGATATGCTTCCAATAAGCCAAAACACATTTCATACTGATTTCTATAAAAGGTATCTTTATTATAGAAGTGTAAGCTATATCTGTTTGTTTTTTTATTATAACAAATTCAAAATTCTCTTATAAGGACTAGATGAAATCTGTATTATTAAATCATTAGCTAAATGAAGGTTCAAATAGAAAGTAAATATCAATTTATATGATACTGAAACCAAATAGTTCTTTTAATAAAAGATAACACGCTGAAAATTATTGAGTATTTGCAAATCTCAAAAATCTATTGGTGAATTTGGCTCAACTTTTAAAATTATAACATCCATATCAAATCATAAAAGCAGACAAAAATTAAAGCCAAACCTATCGGCCAATTTTTTTTGATATTTTGATTTTTGAGGTATACTTTTAAAAGTGGATTTAAAGCACTGATGAAAAAACATTAACTTCTGTCGTTATGATTATTGATTTAGACAATAATGATTTTAATCTTTGATTATCAAAACACTAAAGTCATCTTTTTAACATTTGCTTGGTAGCATTAACTCAAGTCTAAAGTACTATTTTATGTGGCACTCTTAGAATTTTTGTATTCATTGTACACGCTGAAATAGTACCATTAAAGTTATGGCGGACTTTCAAAAAATAGTTTGGTCACCTTTGATTTTTTTTTTGAATTACCTTTTTGATTTTATCACAACGCAACACAAGATATATACATGCATGATATTAGCTTGGCGTTTTGATTTGATTGTGCATAACAACATTCCATTTAAAATTCTTCCGAAACTTTATCTCGGGTTTAATATCAAAACGATTCTTTAGCAGTTAACAAATACAAAAATCTGAAAGAGATCAACATCGATTATGGTTGCCCTTATCGTCAGGCAGGTCACCCCATATCTCAATTTTAAAATTTTAAAATTGAAAATTGAATACTTTTGTAGCAAAAAGTTAATGCATTAAATATGGCACTGAGGAAAATTAACACAAAATCAAGTTGACAAAATAATTCTTTATACATATCACTTCACACTTCACGCTGCCATTCAAAATTTGTTAATATCCAGTTAAAAGTGACATCGCTTGATTTTAGACGATTTTGATTTGTCATACTATATTAATAACAATTTTATAATTTAAAAATCGAATGACAATATTTTTGAGAGATACATATCACTAAGGACACCTTGTTGTCACTATTCATTTTATTTTCAATGATCTCAGATGCGATGTTCTTCATCCCAGAGCAGTTTGATGATGTTAACTGGCAGCAAGCCATCGAGGGAGAGTGTCTGAACATCTCCCGCAAGAGTTCCAAGGCCCATGGCCCAGCATTGGAAAAGATTCCTTCTCCTTCTGCCGAGAAAACCTCAACTGGCTCCCATATCCACAAGTCAAGATGGTCCTCAGACGAGGACAGCAAGCTTGCTGAAGCTGTAAAGCTCTATGGTGCTTGCAACTGGGCCAAGATTTCCGAATTCGTAGGAACACGTTCAGGAAAGCAGTGTCGCGAGCGCTGGATCATCCACCATGATCCATCCTTCACTCGTGAAGAGTGGACTAAGGAAGAGGACCAAATTTTGTTGGACCTCCATGCACAATTGGGCAACAAGTGGTCATCAATCTCCCAATACCTTAAAGGAAGATCAACAACTAACATTAAGAATCGTTTCAAATTCTTGAGAAACCACAATCTTGTTCCTAAGCTCAACGATCCAAACAATCAAGTAAAAGCCGAGATAATCCAAACAATAGAAGACTCACAAGAACAAGATAAGTTAGCATCTAGTAATTGGGTACCAAGGGTCTACTGTAATAAACAGAAATTCATCAAAAGTGACAGCTCTCAATTTTTTGACATTTGTAAATTCTAAATTGAATGAGAAAAATGAAATAATACTAAGCATAATACAATATTCTAGATTTAATTATAATTAAGAAAAAGTTAGTTTTGAGAGTACTTTTCATAGGCATATAGAATGAAATCTTCTGAAAAATAATATCACATAAACTCATATTATTTTCTAATATATAACTATTTTATATAAAAATCAAATTCAATGATCTTAAAAGCGAAGGATAAACCTCAAAATTTACGAATATAATGAGTGGGAATATAATGCTTATCTATCATAAAACCATATGAAATATCAATTTTTGCTTTACGCCTAATTTTTGACGACAATTAGCAAAAAATGTTAAATGTTAACACTCAGTCCATTTGAATATGAAAAATAAAATTGACTTTGATTAAATGTTTTTATTTATCATGCAATTCTTCTTGCGACCAAAGATTTGAATAAAAGTTCAAAAAATAAGATAGCTTAAAAAATAATATACGGTAGTGTTTACTAATAGATGAATAGTATATAAATTCTATTAAAATGGATTTGATCCAAAAAAATATAAAACCAAAAATAATTGTTATAATTTAAATGAAGAAGTAATTTAAAACGATTTTATTTATGATCAAATTTTATATATTTTTTTGGATCAAATCCATTTTAATAGAATTTATATACTATTCATATATTAGTAAACACTACCGTATATTATTTTTTAAGCTATCTTATTTTTTGAAATTTTATTCAAATCTTTGGTCGCAAGAAGAATTGCATGATAAATAAAAACATTTAATCAAAGTCAATTTTATTTTTCATATTCAAATGGACTGAGTGTTAACATTTAACATTTTTTGCTAATTGTCGTCAAAAATTAGGCGTAAAGCAAAAATTGATATTTCATATGGTTTTATGATAGATAAGCATTATATTCCCACTCATTATATTCGTAAATTTTGAGGTTTATCCTTCGCTTTTAAGATCATTGAATTTTTTTTATATAAAATAGTTATATATTAGAAAATAATATGAGTTTATGTGATATTATTTTCAGAAGATTTCATTCTATATGCCTATGAAAAGTACTCTCAAAACTAACTTTTTCTTAATTATAATTAAATCTAGAATATTGTATTATGCTTAGTATTATTTCATTTTTCTCATTCAATTTAGAATTTACAAATGTCAAAAAATTGAGAGCTGTCACTTTTGATGAATTTCTGTTTATTACACATCACATTGAATTCTATTACAATTCTCAATTTTTTTTTTTCAAAATGAACTAGGGAAATTATCGAATTATGATTTCAAATATATCGGAATTGATCGCTTTTCATATCGTTGCAAGTCCGATCATGCCGATAGGCCATTCGAAAATTTTTCATAAAACCAGGTATTCTTGCAGTATTTATATTCACTGCATTTGAAACCGTCAATATTTTTCCTAAATAATTTGTTTTTGTGAAAATTAATTCGAAAATATAATCATATTTCTTTCTTATGTATTTTAATATGTAACAGTTATAAAATGGATTAGATTTACAGATTTAAATATTTCCATATTTTTTGTAAATCATGAATTTTGGATATTATTTTAACATTTTTGTAAATTATTTTTAACTTTTTGATTTTTTTTGGAACTTTCCATTTCATCAGATAGATATAATTTCATTTCCATAATATTATCTAGCATGTTTCAAAATGAATTTCGACTCCATATGATAATTATGATAAAATTTTCTGAATTCTCTTTATACAGTCTTTATCTCTTAAGCGTTCTATTACTGGAGATCAATGTAATATAACTTGTTCTTATTGTTTCATTTCATTATTGGACAATGAATTACGATCCATTCAGACGAACGCCACCGCGACTCACACGGGAACAAATCATTGAGAACGAAATCAACAAGAAAAAAGAAGAATTACAAAGAACTAATTTTAGCTCCTCTCCATCCAATGATATCCAATTTATATCTTCGGAATCTAAGACACCAACTAAATCACCATCATTTGTTTCAGAAACACACAAACCTCGAACGAGACCATTATTTTCCGAAAAATATTCTTCTTCAAAAAATAATGATAGTTCCGAGGAAGAAATCATTATTAAAATCGAAAATACCAAAGACAAAAAGACCAGAAAAGCAAATTACGTGTACAACCAAATCGTTTATTGCCCTAGCTTAAAGCAACATATCGTTTATTGTGGAATCAATACGGAAGGTAAATGCGTTTGTACTGGATTCAATAAGGTTACAGCATATGAATTAGATATGGATCAAATACAGCCAAGTCCGGAAAAATTTATTCCAAAATTATACGATGATCTCAATCAGGCAATCAAAAATAGACCAGTTACTGAAAGTGAGTTCATTAAGTTATGCAAGGAAAAATAACTTTTTGAATTTCAATCATAAATTTTGTACAAATTTATTCATTTTCAACTACCAAGCAACAGAGGAATTGCACACTTAATTTACGTAATTTCATTACAATATTTAAGCTGTTCATATTATATCTATGAAATTGCTAATTAATGCAGGCTTCGCAAGCATTCTGATATCAAAAATCATGATTTACCATAGTTTTTATCTAATCCAAGTCTTACAAGTTTCTATTTCTTAAATAGAAAATGAATTGTTCACAATTTTGACTTGCGCAATGAAGGATAGTCCATACCAGTGATTTTTACACATATATATTTATATTTGTTGAATAAAAATTCATCAAAATTAAATTTTTATTTGATAAAATCAACAAACAAGTTTAGATTAATTGTAATCATGTTTAAGCTCCATGAGCGTACTTAATTTGTTAATGATTTCTGAGATTATTTTGAAATAATTTATGATAAAAAAATATTTAAATTTTAAAATAAATTAAACTCAAGTTTTTACTTTTTTGCTTTTTGCTTATTAAGTTTTTCTTGGTATTCTGCTCTCATTATACTAGCTCTGTGCATCAAACCTTTTCCAGCTGGAGTTTCGAGTCCTTTTACCTTTGCTTCTTTCTCATCTTCGACAACCTGAGCTGCTATCTTCTTATAGTAATCAATTACTGAAATCTTTTGAGATTTCAATTGATCTCCAATTAAATTACGTTTTTCTTGCAATTTCTTCTGCATTTCTTCTAATTTTGGAGTTGGTTCAACACCACAACCTATAAAAGCATCAGTAGTTAGCTTTCCAACTTCAATTAATTTATCAATTAATTTAAGTGACATCCACCTCTCTAATTCCCAATCATCGAGTAATTTGAAAGGTATATCACCGAATTTAGGTATCTTCGCACAGAGATGGTACACTTCTTCCTTTGACATTTCGGACATTTGCTTCAATCCCGATTTCTTCTTAGGAGCAGCCGCTGGAACCTGTACAGGTTTGACAGGCTTTTCTTGTTGGACATTCGGTTCTGGGAAATGTGAGAAGGAACTGCCTGGTTTTACTCTTAAATAATTTAATTTCAAAACTTTGAGGCATGGCTCGAGAATAGGGGTGTTAACCTTGAGAGAAATCTCAAGAAAAACTGTTCGCCCTTAGGTGTGTGCTCTGTAGGGTCGAGCGGGTAAGTTTTCGTAACTTCTGTCAATTTCGAAACAATTCCAATAGGAACTTTGCAATGTCCGACAGGAACAACTGTAGTTTTGAATAATCCTTTATCGTGCATAACTAATTCGAATCCAATCTCTTTTCTTTCTGCAAGTCTTTGCATTAATTTCGGATTTGATCGTTTTAAGATATTCCAATCACAATGCCAGTCAACAGCACCAGCATCCAAAGGTTCTGATGTTTTGGTGGAGTTTCTCTGCAATGGAGTAAACATTGACTGTATAAGTTATTCCTTTCTTTTGAGGCGCTCCAATGTTGCTGACGCAGCAGCGAAGAGTTGTGATAGGGATATCCTCGTTCTTAACTGCTTGCATGACATCGAGATCGCCAGTTGTCAATTCAGGTGGAATTAATCTTTTTTCAATAGACTTTGCATAGATTGCGCATGAATTTTGAGATATTTCGAGAGCCTGCTTCATATTTTTAATTGAAGTATTGTCTTTTGTCTTTGTAATAATCGGAATATGATCTTTTAATGTTTGCAATCCTGTATTTATTTTTTCTAATGTGCCAAATGTCTTAATATCATTTGCTTCAGGAACTTTATCGATGCCTGTAGAAGCATATTGACATAATTTCTTAAATTTGGCAATATATTCCTCTGCTGCTTCGTTATCACCGGCAATACGTGCATTCATTGCTTTCTGAATGTAACGCATGCCACAATTATAAACATGATGAATTTGTTCTGCACTCATTTTCGATTAAAAAAATATGAAGAAAAATTCCGATGAAAAAATATTTGACATAAAAGTGACGACTTTCATTTCACTTATTTTATATCTTGATGTACGAGCTTAGCAATTGCATAGGCAAACAAGTTTCCAACTGAGAAAGTTCCTTCTCGCCAGCAAACTTTAATTTTTTTCTTGCTGATATTCATTTTGCTTCAGATGTTAATATTGGAGCTGGACATTTTCATCAAATGCTTTTGCTTCATAATAGTTTCTCATTATAAAGTTTGCGTCTGAAAGTACCAGACTCACAAGTTGAAATGCTCATTTTTTTTGCAAAAAAATCAGATAATCAAAAGAAAGTATTTCGGAATTAATCTGATAGTAGGTAATCACCTATGCGTAAGCGAAAAATGCTATATATTTAGTATAAAAACAATAATGATACATTATTTATTAATAAAACTGATATAACATACATGACTGAAGTAATTTATACACCACATGTAAAGCAAACGCTAAAGAATGGGTGTGGTCGATGACACTTTGGACAAGCAATAAATAATTTCTGATTTTTGTCTTCTAGTATATGGTTAATGCAATAATCTGATCCAGGCAATGCAACATTGATACAGTTTTGGCAATGACAAATCTTCTTTCCATCCTTTATTTGTTCGTGCATTTCTTGGCGCCATCTCTGTCGTAAAGTATAATAACCTTCGATTTTCTCTAAAGGCTCATCATTTATTATTCTTTTGAAGGCACCAGACATTGTTTCATTTTCGGCTCTCTGCTTTTCGCCCTTGACCTGGTTAATATAGTATTGCCGTAAATGTAAGTATCTGTCTTCGTTTGATTCAGGATATGAAACATCACCTGCAGCCTGGTACATTTTATATGAATTAAAATTTTTGAACTTCCCTTTAAGATCAATAGGATTTTTTGTATCTTGAGCATCACTTGGTGGGTCTTCTGTCGGAATATCAATTTCATTTCCTTCAAGAAAGTATCTAACAGATTGATTCATTATAAGTTTGTCAATTTTCTAACGCAAAATTTCAAATTTTGAGTTTTTACGAGTTTCTGTTTGTTATTAGTGGACAAATTTATGATAGATACATTAGACTCATAGTAGCAGAAAGATTGTATAATGTAAATATACCAATTCACAAAACTTTTTTGTGGGATAAATTTTCTTCCATGTAAAAATTGGAATTGGAAGCTTATCGACCATATTACATCTCAATGTGAAGTCATTTTTTTCAAAAGATAATCAAATAGCATCATATATTTCAATTTTTCGGATTTTTTAAAGGTAACTAAACTCCTTTCGCCGATCCGATTTGCCCCATATTTAAAATATAGCTTGCATATGTAGAAGAAAAGCTAATTTTGAAGTACGCCGAAATCCACCAACAGGATTTCGAGCTACTAAAAAGGTACTTTTAAATGTGATTTTTTTTATAAAAAATTAAATTTATTTTAAGATCAGACTAAAAACTAATTTTATGGAAAATCTATATCGACAAATTTATTACTTATTGGGTATATAGATTTTTTGATTATGGCGATTATGTCTGATATGCTTCCAATAAGCCAAAACACATTTCATACTGATTTCTATAAAAGGTATCTTTATTATAGAAGTGTAAGCTATATCTGTTTGTTTTTTTATTATAACAAATTCAAAATTCTCTTATAAGGACTAGATGAAATCTGTATTATTAAATCATTAGCTAAATGAAGGTTCAAATAGAAAGTAAATATCAATTTATATGATACTGAAACCAAATAGTTCTTTTAATAAAAGATAACACGCTGAAAATTATTGAGTATTTGCAAATCTCAAAAATCTATTGGTGAATTTGGCTCAACTTTTAAAATTATAACATCCATATCAAATCATAAAAGCAGACAAAAATTAAAGCCAAACCTATCGGCCAATTTTTTTTGATATTTTGATTTTTGAGGTATACTTTTAAAAGTGGATTTAAAGCACTGATGAAAAAACATTAACTTCTGTCGTTATGATTATTGATTTAGACAATAATGATTTTAATCTTTGATTATCAAAACACTAAAGTCATCTTTTTAACATTTGCTTGGTAGCATTAACTCAAGTCTAAAGTACTATTTTATGTGGCACTCTTAGAATTTTTGTATTCATTGTACACGCTGAAATAGTACCATTAAAGTTATGGCGGACTTTCAAAAAATAGTTTGGTCACCTTTGATTTTTTTTTTGAATTACCTTTTTGATTTTATCACAACGCAACACAAGATATATACATGCATGATATTAGCTTGGCGTTTTGATTTGATTGTGCATAACAACATTCCATTTAAAATTCTTCCGAAACTTTATCTCGGGTTTAATATCAAAACGATTCTTTAGCAGTTAACAAATACAAAAATCTGAAAGAGATCAACATCGATTATGGTTGCCCTTATCGTCAGGCAGGTCACCCATATCTCAATTTTAAAATTTTAAAATTGAAAATTGAATACTTTTGTAGCAAAAAGTTAATGCATTAAATATGGCACTGAGGAAAATTAACACAAAATCAAGTTGACAAAATAATTCTTTATACATATCACTTCACACTTCACGCTGCCATTCAAAATTTGTTAATATCCAGTTAAAAGTGACATCGCTTGATTTTAGACGATTTTGATTTGTCATACTATATTAATAACAATTTTATAATTTAAAAATCGAATGACAATATTTTTGAGAGATACATATCACTAAGGACACCTTGTTGTCACTATTCATTTTATTTTCAATGATCTCAGATGCGATGTTCTTCATCCCAGAGCAGTTTGATGATGTTAACTGGCAGCAAGCCATCGAGGGAGAGTGTCTGAACATCTCCCGCAAGAGTTCCAAGGCCCATGGCCCAGCATTGGAAAAGATTCCTTCTCCTTCTGCCGAGAAAACCTCAACTGGCTCCCATATCCACAAGTCAAGATGGTCCTCAGACGAGGACAGCAAGCTTGCTGAAGCTGTAAAGCTCTATGGTGCTTGCAACTGGGCCAAGATTTCCGAATTCGTAGGAACACGTTCAGGAAAGCAGTGTCGCGAGCGCTGGATCATCCACCATGATCCATCCTTCACTCGTGAAGAGTGGACTAAGGAAGAGGACCAAATTTTGTTGGACCTCCATGCACAATTGGGCAACAAGTGGTCATCAATCTCCCAATACCTTAAAGGAAGATCAACAACTAACATTAAGAATCGTTTCAAATTCTTGAGAAACCACAATCTTGTTCCTAAGCTCAACGATCCAAACAATCAAGTAAAAGCCGAGATAATCCAAACAATAGAAGACTCACAAGAACAAGATAAGTTAGCATCTAGTAATTGGGTACCAAGGGTCTACTGTAATAAACAGAAATTCATCAAAAGTGACAGCTCTCAATTTTTTGACATTTGTAAATTCTAAATTGAATGAGAAAAATGAAATAATACTAAGCATAATACAATATTCTAGATTTAATTATAATTAAGAAAAAGTTAGTTTTGAGAGTACTTTTCATAGGCATATAGAATGAAATCTTCTGAAAAATAATATCACATAAACTCATATTATTTTCTAATATATAACTATTTTATATAAAAATCAAATTCAATGATCTTAAAAGCGAAGGATAAACCTCAAAATTTACGAATATAATGAGTGGGAATATAATGCTTATCTATCATAAAACCATATGAAATATCAATTTTTGCTTTACGCCTAATTTTTGACGACAATTAGCAAAAAATGTTAAATGTTAACACTCAGTCCATTTGAATATGAAAAATAAAATTGACTTTGATTAAATGTTTTTATTTATCATGCAATTCTTCTTGCGACCAAAGATTTGAATAAAAGTTCAAAAAATAAGATAGCTTAAAAAATAATATACGGTAGTGTTTACTAATAGATGAATAGTATATAAATTCTATTAAAATGGATTTGATCCAAAAAAATATAAAACCAAAAATAATTGTTATAATTTAAATGAAGAAGTAATTTAAAACGATTTTATTTATGATCAAATTTCTGTTTATTACAATTCATCTATTAGTAAACACTACCGTATATTATTTTTTAAGCTATCTTATTTTTTGAACTTTTAGTCAAATCTTTGGTCGCAAGAAGAATTGCATGATAAATAAAAACATTTAATCAAAGTCAATTTTATTTTTCATATTCAAATGGACTGAGTGTTAACATTTAACATTTTTTGCTAATTGTCGAGTGGGGGACAAACTCGCCCATTGTCACTTTTTCATTAACCTTAAACTTGTAATTTTCATTATTTTTAATTAACCTTATTTCTTTCCCAATTCCTGATTTATTTTATTCACTTACTATTAAAAGTCACATTTTAATAAAATATAATAATTTATTTATAGCATTTTTTACTATACTGTAATAAAAAATTAATTATAATAAATTAAATGTTTATTAAATCAAATATTTTCTTTGCAATAATATTTTTAATGTTGAGTAAACAATGTTGGGATCAAGTGTATCATTTTTCAGACCTTTCTGAACAGCTTCAAGCATACTGATGCATTCGACTTTTTTAAATTGTGTCATTTCTTCGAAATCTCTTGTGACTTTTTTGATAACTTTAACACTTCTCTCTGAATCCAGACCTTTAATTTGCAACTTAATCAGGAATGAAGGAACAACACTGGAATATAACTCGATGACAAGTTCATCGAGTCGAAGATTTGGTTGTACACCACTTGTATGTGCCGGATACCATTGTGTCAAATTTTTTGAAATTAACTTTAAAAGTACTAAGTAAGATCATGAGATATAGCAATATATGTTTAAACCAACTTATATTTTGGTTGTACACCACTTGTATGTGCCGGATACCATTGTGTCAAATTTTTTCTGAAATTAACTTTAAAAGTACTAAGTAAGATCATGAGATATAGCAATATATGTTTAAACCAACTTATATTTTGGTTGTACACCACTTGTATGTGCCGGATACCATTGTGTCAAATTTTTTCTGAAATTAACTTTAAAAGTACTAAGTAAGATCATGAGATATAGCAATATATGTTTAAACCAACTTATATTTTGGTTGTACACCACTTGTATGTGCCGGATACCATTGTGTCAAATTTTTTCTGAAATTAACTTTAAAAGTACTAAGTAAGATCATGAGATATAGCAATATATGTTTAAACCAACTTATATTTTGGTTGTACACCACTTGTATGTGCCGGATACCATTGTGTCAAATTTTTTCTGAAATTAACTTTAAAAGTACTAAGTAAGATCATGAGATATAGCAATATATGTTTAAACCAACTTATATTTTGGTTGTACACCACTTGTATGTGCCGGATACCATTGTGTCAAATTTTTTCTGAAATTAACTTTAAAAGTACTAAGTAAGATCATTTATTTTTGCATAATATAATGCCAATATGGTTTCTTTTGATTTTATTTCATTTATAAGCAAATCAGATTTACCCAAAAACTCCACTCCATAAGCGTTCATTTGCTAAATTAAAAAGTGACAATGGGCTAGTCTGTCCCTTTCTCTTATTTTTCATATTCAAATGGACTGAGTGTTAACATTTAACATTTTTTGCTAACTGTCGTCAAAAATTAGGCGTAAAGCAAAAATTGATATTTCATATGGTTTTATGATAGATAAGCATTATATTCCCACTCATTATATTCGTAAATTTTGAGGTTTATCCTTCGCTTTTAAGATCATTGAATTTGATTTTTATATAAAATAGTTATATATTAGAAAATAATATGAGTTTATGTGATATTATTTTTCAGAAGATTTTGTGTTCTTCTTCAAAATTTTATTTTTTATTAAAAAGAATCTTTACAAAATATACATTTACTTTAATTAATATTTAAAAACGTGCTCTATCAAAAGTTCCAAAAATTCAATATTTTAGCTTTTCTGAAGTGTCACTTTTGATGAATTTCTGTTTACAACACTACACCCCTTAGTACTCAAATTACTAGAATCTGCAAAAAACCGTTTGACACGTAAAATATTTTGACATTTACAAAAATAAAAAAATATTTTTTTAAAAATAAACTTAAAAATTAACGTTAAATTTTTTGACATTTACAAAAATAAAAAAAATATTTTTTTTAAAAATAAACTTAAAAATTAACGTTAAAATTTTTGACATTTACAAAAAATAAAAAAATATTTTTTAAAAAATAAACTTAAAAATTGACGTTAAAATTTTTGACACTTCACAAAATAAAAAATAATTTTTTAAAAATAAACTTTAAAAAATTAACGTTAAATTTTTTGACACTACTCAAAATAAAAAAATGATTTTTTAAAAATAAACTTTAAAAAATTAACGTTAAAATTTTTTATTTATTTTTTTTATCATAGATTTTAACACCCAGAGTAAAAAAATAAACTTAAAAATAAATTAACTCAAAATTTTTTTAATTTCTGTATATACTAAATTTTTCATAAATGATAAAATTAATTTAGAGGGCTCTTTGAGCCCATCTCGCCGCTACGCGGCTTAGGGTAGATCTAACCCGATATCTAACCTCATTTCTAACCTTGTGAATTCTCTTATAAAGTTGCAATAGTTGAATTCATTAACTGAGCCTCAAGGAAGAAAACATCCTTTCTGTCTTCGGGTAATACAACGGGGCATTTATGATCGTGTGTAGAATACATATCAATCCAAAACTCTCTATTATTTCCTGATAACTTATAATATTTAATATTTGTTAATGGTGATGCTCTAGTATGTCCAATAAATTCATTTTCAACCCCTTTAGCGATATTTGAATATAAAATGACTTGTTTTCTGTCCCATACATTATATGTTATTATTGGTGATAACACTGTTCGTTCTTCTCCGGGTTTATAATTAAATACATTCATGAAGTCTTCATTATACTGAGAAATTTTAAAACCTATCCTAAAATCACTTTGTCTCTTTTCTGCTACTTCATTAAACGGCGAGTATATAACAAATGTGCATGTATGTGAATCATCTATTTGTTCAATAAATTCATAATGAAAGTCTATAATCTGCGGATGAATTCCTTCTTCACCTAATTTATCAAGATACACATTTAATCCTAAAGCGTTTTTGTTAAATTTCTTTTCGAAAATTTCATTAAAATCATTCATGCATTCATATAATGTTGTATCATCTTTGAAATATTTATATATGTGAATAGTTTGCTTAAATTCTTGTGTATCGTTTATAACAACAACTTCAAGCTCAAATTCAACCTTTCTAAATCCTCGCGTTATATACATATTTGATAAACCAATATATTTTTCATTTATATTCACAGTCCAGTCAATAGGTAGTTTAAAGGTAATTCTATTTCCATTTATTTTGACATTTTCGTTTTCAGAACTGAAAGCAACTGTTAAAGGTACTTGTCTATACATTTATTACAAACAAAAATATATCATTTATTCTTTCTTCTCAATGGAAAAGGGTCTTCGACCCTCATGAGGCTCATTGAGCCTCTTCAGCCTTTTCCTTTTCAGCTTTTTCTTTAGCCTCACGTTCTCTTTTTGCTTTCATTCTCGGGTTCTTCTCTCTTCCTGCAGCTAATGCGGCTAACTGCTTTTCACTTAATTTCCTTTTTGGTTTTACTGGTTTTTCTTCGGCTTTAGGTGTCTTTAGTTCTGTTAATATCTGCTCACGAATTTCTTTTTTGATGGCTTCAATATCTAATCCTGACTCATTTGATTACCGATAAAAAATTCAAAATTTAAAAATTTTATTTGAATTAAATATGAGCCTATCAAAATCTGAGAGACAATCGATTATATTAAATGATGCAAGAGGAATTCAGCATCCATTATATTATGTATCAACAAGTAAAGATGGAAAAATTTATGTAAGAAAAAGACGAGTTCCATTAACGAATTCAGAAACTGATAAAATAGATATAAAACCTAAACTTGAAACAAAAGCGGAAGACAGTGAGGCTGTCAGGACAAAGCCCACGATAAAGGAAACGGAATCTAAACCAGAACCTAAACCCGATGTACTTTCGATAACGAATCAAGAATTAATAGCTAAATTTGTAAATTTCATTGAAAAGCAAACGGAATCAAAAAATCCAGACCCACCAGTAAAAGAGCAGGAAACCAAAATTAATGAAGAGTTTGTGAAAAACGTAAAACATGAAATTATTGAACAAAAGAAACAAATTCCTCAACTAAGAAGAAGAGTTAGAATATTAAACTAAATAAATATTTTTATCTAACATAAAACATGCAAAACGAACAGCTTAACGAATTTACACCAGCTGAACATATCCATCAAATTCGTTCATATTTTGAGGTAATCGATAATGCAATTAATATTGGTGATACTAATAGAAGATATATCGATGCAAAAATTCCATCACAACCAGGAAGCGCAAAGGATCATAACTGGGTCACATTCAATTTATCTCCGCCAGGTGAAAATATGCTAGACCTTTATAACACATTCCTTACAACTACCTATAAAAGTAAATATATCCTGGATAAAGCTATTACTGGTTCATCAATTCCAAATACTAATTCTCCAGGTTTCTTTGGCGTTTTTGATGAATCAATTTACACCATTGAAGCATATCAGTTATTAGCAAATGGAAGAGTTATTTATAGTCAGGATAACGCAAGAGAAGAAGCATATATCATTTCTAATTCACAGACTACAGAACAAATAAAGAAAGTTGATGTTTTCTCAAAAACGAGACATAAAGATGTATGGAAACGTTCTGGAACAGTTCGAACAGGTCAAATTATCTCAGGACCTTTAGTTGCAGGAGCTGAAATTAATTTTGACATTAAAATAAAGATTCCATGTCGTAAATTCCTTATTCTAGAAGTTATTAGATTTATTCCTGCTTTTGCAGGCAACATTCAGTTAAAGGTTAAATTTAGTAGCGATGCATTCCAGGTAACAGCACTGCCGGTAGAAGATATTTTAGCTCATAATCCTTCTTTAATCAGTCAGGTAAAAGATAATTATGCCCCACCAACTAATAAATTTGTTCCATGGAATGAACCATTCAATATGATAACAGCAGTTTCAAAATCAAATGGTGAAATTACTGTTTCAACAGTTGAACAAAGATTAACGAAGAAATCAGCTGAATTCATTGATTGCTTCATTCATCCTAAAGCATTTTCACTCGATCCAAATATTTACACTGAATTAGTCGATCATTATACATCACAAGCTTTATGTTTTCCAATTAAAGTAATGGACTGGATTCCTATGGACGGTTCGTTCAGTAAAGGTTCACCATCAGCAACTTTCACAGCAGCTTATACACCAATTAACGTTAAAAGCATTTGGGCTTTATTTAGGAAGAATGATAATTATATCGTGAATTTCGAAAATCCTCAATTTGAAACCCTTCAATTATCAATGGGCGCTTATGGAAGTATGCCAGCTGAACCAGAGAGCTCTTACGGTCCGGTGTTCTATGAAATGGTTGCTAATGCATGCAATACAAATAACGATATGATAGGATTTAATGAAGATGTGATGAGGTCGTTAATTGATGATGGAAGCGTTAAACATTTATATGAATCATACGATAACACTCATTTCCTCTGTGGATTCCCTACGGAAACTGATTTCACATTTCAACAGGGTCAAACATCAACGGCACCAATTACATATAAATTAGGTGTTAAAGCTGATGATACAAATATAAGCGAAAAATACACTGTCAAACCTTTATTAGGATTTCTTAGAAATGCTTGTTTCGCTATTCAAGTCAGACCAGCTGGCATTCCTGCTGTTAGAATTGATGATTATAATTTAGCTGCTGATGGAGGTGAAGAGTAAAAAAAATAAATGTAGTTAATTTTTAATTTTCTGATTTTTTTATTTTTATAAAACGATGGAAAATAATAACTGGGAAACATTAGTTGCTGATGAAGATTACGAAATTAACACAAAATATCCGTATCAAATAAGAAGAAAGAAAAACGGAAAGACTGTCAGTGAGTATGAAGAAAAGAATGGATATATAAGATTAACCCTTAACGGTAAAAAATATCTTAAGCATAGATTAATAGCTATTCAGTGGATTGATAATCCTGGTAGTTTTGGGGAAGTTGACCATTACGATAAAGTTAGAAATAATAATAAGATTGATAATTACATTGGTGTTCAAGTTCTACAAATAATAGAAATAGAAGTAAAGCAAATGGAGTAGAATATAATTTCGTTGATGAAATCAGTGAAAATTCAATTACTGTTTCACATTATGGAAATCATGAATTTGAGGATTTATTTTACGACATCAATGCAGATTTGTTTTATTATTATAACGTCGTCAGTATAAAGAACTATACATTAATGAAAACATAAATGGTTCATTATATGTTAACGTTTATGATGTAAATGGAAAAAGAACGTGCATTACATATAGTAAATTCAAACGCTTACATAATTTAATATGAAAAGTTTATTTTTGTCTTGAACGATAAAAATATATTATATCATTTATGACTTCAGAACTTTAATTTCCTTATGAAAGTATTTTTAGTCGTTATTGAAAAGTTAAACTTCTCTCAAAAAACAGGCTGTTGATTTGCATAAATCAAATGCGATTTCCTGACCATCGCGAAGGGCTTGATATAATTTCATTATACTGAACTCAGAATCTTTATCATATTTTTCAACAGGAATATGAATGTTCTTATCTTCATTATAATAGCATTGTACTGCGTCAGGAAACATTTCGTTAGCGGTTAAAGCAATGACATCTTGTTTTACGCCTTTCATACGTGCATGAAATGCAACTTCACCAATGTCATTTATTAAAAGGTCTATGTAAGTCTTCTTTCCACAAAATATCGACTTGTAAGCTAAACTTTGTTTATCTTTTGTGATTTCTGCAAAATCTGAATGAAACTGACCTAAATTCTTTCCTATTAATTCACGACCATATCTTTTCTGAAATTCCCGAGCTAAACGTGGTATGTCTTCATTGAAAATATGCATGCTATCACAGTCCTGGTAAAGATTTGAAGTCCCATATCCTCAGCAGTGCAAAATACTTCATTCATGATACGTTTCGACATAGATAAGATATTAACACCTAAGGGACAAAAGTTAAAGTGTCTGCAAATGCTTTTAGTTAGTTTGAAAATAGTTTTATCCGAACCATCTAAACCTTCAAATTTAATGATATGGTTATAATTTCTGATGGCATACCTAACAGCATCTTTATCATCAATGATTTTAATTTTCGACTCTATCGGGGACAAAATAGTTTTTCCATAAATACTGTTCAAAATTAATTTAATATTTTCTTGTAGCGGATTTTCTTCCTTCTTATACTTTAATCTCAATTCAAACAATTTCTTTACTTCATCTCTTATTCTAAAATCTCTTTTTTCATCGTAGTAGTAACCCTGTAATACTTCGCAGCTGATGCCCTGATATTTTATTAAATCCTGCAAAGCTATGTGGTCCACATACATTAAACAGCATGTGTTAGAACTTCTTGGAACCTTTAGCTCCGGGTTTAATTCTGGATCTACTGTTATTAATGGAAAGTGCCTTTTAATCTTAATCTCGGTTATTTTTATTAAAACAAAGAATCCGGAAATGAATTTCTCACCTTCAGGCTCGCCCTGGTCATCATCGAATAAATGTTTTAACAAATATTCACTGTTTAACATTTCTTTCTTCATAACCTTTGGAATTCCTTCTAAAGTATAAAGTCTCGCGATAGCGAGGATATAATGAAACAGCATCGAAGTCAGCAATGAGTTTCTTTTCGCTCTTTTGTTTCATGTTATCTGACAGCATACATCTTCCACCTTGAATACAGCGTGAAATAAATTCTCTTGGTTTATTTGAAAGGTCATATAAATTTCCATTCGGGAAATATACTCTGTTTTCGAAAAGTTTGTTAGCGATTGAACAAATGCTAACGTAATCATAAACGTTTAAATCAAACTCTTTCAATATATCATTTCTGAACTTAACAAAACCTTCTCTTAAAATCCTTACGTCCTGTTTGCAATAAAATGAGCTATATTTTTCTAAATCGAAATGGTTTTCATCTATTCTGCAGTTTTCGATTAAATCTATGTTTTTCATGAACGTTTCAATATCTTTTACAAACTTACACGCTTCAGAAATTACGCCAGTTTTGTTATCATTAACTAATAAAGAGCTTGAATAATATTGATACGGAAATACTTCCTTTTCACCACACTGCAAATGAAACATTTCAGGAAATAGTTTAAGCTTCTTATTTATAACAGTGTATGAATCTTTAATAATGATTGCTTTACCTTTATATATTCCCGTTATCTGCATTGTTCTAGAACCCTTAATAATTGGTGTTCCGCTAATTTCTGTTAAATGTCTTAAAATGAAATTGATATCATAACTGAGGTTATGAAAATATATTAAACTTTTATCAGGAATTCTTTCTAAAAATTTTGTTGCACAATTTTGACCCCAAATGCTTTCGCTAATCTTTCCATCTTCACTATCATAACAAATGTTAAAGGCTTTATGAACTCCATCAGTGCTACATTCAAAGTCAGCGAAGAAAATGTGTTCAGGAATGAATTTTTGTTTTGATTTATCACTATCTTTACTTTCAGACTTTTTCTTTAACTGAACACAGTAGTTCGGGGTATAATTTAAATCTTTAAACGGTGCAAGTTTTTGTTTATATAAATCTGTTGTATAAGTGAAAAGTTCACCATAAGATAACGGTTCAAAGTAATTGCACTCTCTTAATGTTTTCAAAATATCCCATAAAGGAGTTGTTCGCGTAGAATCAATAACAAATCTATTTTCCCTTTTCTTATATATTTTCATTTGACGCTCAATATTCCAGCCGCCTAATGATTTGAGAATTTCGTTATAATTTATGATAAAATATGTTGTCATAGGTAATCTTTCATTTAACATGTAATGGTCTTCAACAAGAAGTAAGTCAATAGTTCGAACAGTTTCACATTCTTTTGGTATATATCTCTTTATTTCATTATGTCTAGAGTCATTGAAATAACCAATGGTAACATTAAATGCTATGCCTGTTGCGTTAGAAATTTCCTGAATCTTACTTTGTGGAAAATCTCTAACTCTAATAACTTCACGCATGTGGTCTACCGTCTGCTCATCAACTCCAGCCTGAATGCAAGCATAAACGAAGCAGTTATCTTCTGTCATCAACTTAGCAGTTCTTTTGTTAAGTTCATTGAAAATTTGATAGCGTTCAAGATTTATAGGTAATCTGCAAAGATACTTCCAAAACTCTCCACTTCTCTTTTTATTCGTTCTCTTTTCATCAAGAATTTCATTCCAAAAATCATCTATATCCTGTTTATCTCCTATTTCTTTAAGTCTGTTTAATAATCTTTGCTGACGTGCTGTTAATTTACTTTCATCTCTTTTTTCTCTCTTCTGTGGCTTACCTTTCTTAATATCGCTCATCGTTAATCCTTCATATTCAGTTAAATCATACATTTTAATTTCTTCGAGGTTCTTAATATTTGTCATGAAGAAATCATAATGTTTTTCAATTATTCCGGCTGCGTTTGCTTCAATCTCTGTTATAAAGTTTTCTTGCTTTAACTGATGAAGCAAAGCTCCGATGTTCTCGATATTCAATGTTGAATTAGTAAATTTACCATCGAGTTTATAACAAATCATCCATTTTTGCTGTGAATTTACTTTTATCTTCTGCAGAAGCCTAATAAACATTTTACCGAAACGTTCATGTAGGTAATTTCTGTTTTCTTCATTGAGTTCACGAATATTAAAATCTATGATTCTATTTCCTGCTTTAACATTTTTGCGTTTATTATTTTCATCCTTCTTTAACCATTTTTCGTCATCAAGAGCTTTATCGTCTATAGATTTAATAACTTCGTTTGCTTTGCGTAATTGTGCAATTGCTTTTGCATACTTTACAGCTATATTTTTCTTTTCTTCATCGCTTTTCTTCTTTCTCGTTTCCCCAACACTAACATTAGTTATATCATACATTTCTTTTCTTACTTCCTTCGGTACCGCTTGTTTATGATATAAATTAACCTGAACATCATTTAAAGGAAATGTTTTGTTATTAATGTAATCATTAATTTTCTCGTAAGTGACTACACCTGTAATCATTGAGGTATTTAGCTAATGAAGATTTGTTAGTCGCATATCTTTTGCTAACTTCAATGCCAGCATTCTTCAATAACTTCTTAATTTCTTCATGGTCTAATCTAGATAGCTTTTTATACATCTTTTATGGAAAATAAAAAAAATATTTTCCGTAAAAATATAATTTAAAAATAAACTTAATTTTTTAAAATAATTTATATTTTTAATTTTAATAAAATAATGTCTGAGTACAAGTTCTATTCATACAATGCTCTCGCTACTGCTGTTAAGGTTGAATTCATAAATGGAAAAAAAGTGAACGTTATATTCAATAAAAAGTCTGTGAAAGAATCTAAATACGGTCAGTTCGTTAAACCATACGCTATCATTATTGACAGAAAACGTTACACACCACATGAAATAGCAGTATTACTTAAACAGAAAGGAATATTTGTAAATATCAAAGATACACATTATACGATTATGAAGAACTCCAAAGTTGAATTTTTCAGCATTGTTTTAGATTTATCGCAGCAGAAAGAATTCAAGAGGGCGCAAGGCGCCGAGATGGGCTCAAAGAGCCCTCCAGGTGAAGTAGTTGTGAAATATTATCCTTCATCTCTGAAGACAATAACGAATAAAGATATAATCAATAAGCTCCTACCAGTAATTGAGGAAGCAACGATTGAATATGATGAAAAAGGAACGGAAATGATTGAGGAAATAGACCCTGAAGCTTTATAAGAAAATTTATTTTTGAATAACTGAAGGTGTCACCACGTCACCATGTGTCACCAGGTTAATTAACTTCTTTTAAAATTACTGACAACATGACATTTTGACAACAGGTACGAAAGGAGGAAGGCATTTATGAATTATTTTTGAAGAACTGAAGGTGTCACCACGTCACCATGTGTCACCAGGTTAATTAACTTCTTTTAAAAATGATGACAGCATGACATTTAGACAACAGGTACGAAAGGAGGAAGGCATTTATGAATTATTTTTGAAGAACTGAAGGTGTCACCACGTCACCATGTGTCACCAGGTTAATTAACTTCTCTTAAAATTACTGACAACATGACATTTTGACATCACAGCAGGATTAATGCAAAAATAAATTCAAATCATACTTTATAAAGCTTCATTTACAGGTATTTCATCATCAGTAAATGAATCCTCATTATCGTTTGGTTCAACCTGTTTATATAATCCTTTCATTTCTTCTTTCAAAACATAACACCATGTTTGTTTACCATCTATTCTTCTCTGTTTCCTATCACATTTATCCTTAATGCTCATTTGGAAATTATTGTCTTTCATGTCTGATGGTTTGCAGAATAGAGCATTTTTACACGTCATACCTGCACACAATTCATCATAATGTGTATTTATCCATTCATCTAAAGGATTTGTTGATAATTCTATTAAATCTTGTTTGGCTTCAGTCATCGGTATGATTCGTACATTAAATGATGAAAGGTCATATTGCATAAAATACGTCAGTAAATTATCATAAAATTCCTTAGTGCATGAATCCATTAAATTCTTGAAGTAATCAAATTGACCCTTAAATTTACCATTAACTCTTAAAACTACGTATCTTCTGTCTCCAACTTCAATTTTGACAGGGTAAACGTTATTAGTTACCAAAATGAAATTGGCAACATTCTGAGCAGTTCTTCTGGGTTGATTCTTTTCATTAATTCTAATCTCATTATCCGTAATAATTGATTTCAAAGCGTTGAAGTTTGCGAGTCTGTCTTCACCTACATTCTTGAGTTCATTAAGTACAAGAAACATTTTATTTTCAACTACTGAATTGAAATTACCCGTTAGCTCACTTATTTCAGTAATGTTTTTACATGAATAACCGGCGAGAAGTTCAGAAATAATGTCTGTAAATCTGTTTTTACCTGTTCCCTGAAGTCCTTTCAAAATAATTGCTGTTTCATTCTTGATTCCAGGATGTTGAATCATTGATGCAATCCAGCCGAGAAGGTATTTATACACTTCATCGTTATTATCACAAATGGCTTCTTTAATGAAATTCATAAACATCTCAATTTTTGAGTAATTCTGGTTTTTCGAGAACGTTGTATTTATAACCTTGAAACGTTGAGAAAACATCTGGAGAATCAGATTTAAAGCAAACACCCTTAACGGTTAATGAGGATAATTGATTTAGTAGTACATCCCATGCTGTTATTGTTTTACCTTCTTCTTTAAATAATTTACTCATTTTAAGTGACTCTTTCATGTTTGATTGAAGAACGAATGATATTTGATTCATTTTGTCGTGGATATTATAGTCCTTTTGAATGAAATATTTATTTCCACAATCTACAAAACGGATTACACGTGATAAATCCTCAATTACTTCAGAACTGTTTTTATACTGATGATTTTCAGCCTTGCGTCTAATATCTGTTATCAAAAACGAGTCATCAAGTTTTATATCAAATGTTATTTTTGGCTTACGTAATAAAGGTAAAACGTATTCATCATAATATTCCTTTTGATATAGTTTTAGAATCTTCACCAAAACAAATGGAGAAGTCATTAAATGTGCATATCTACTACGTGCTTTTTCAAAATTACTTTTTGCATTTTCAGTTAAATTGCAGAAGTTATAAACGTTATCGTATGCTTCATTAATTAAATGATTAGGTAACGAATTAATTGCTTGAAACAGTGTGAATAATGTAACTTCTTTTTCTAAATTCATGTTTCCACCGTCATTATGTACTTCAAAATCACTGATACCATCAACTATGCTCTGGGCAAGTTTATCGTCAATGTTTACATCTTTGTTTTCATTCATTATACTCTTTATTTCTTCATTCTTCTGTTCAACTCTTACCTTAATATTCAAATCATTTAATATATCGTTTACTGTTCTAGTTAATGTTGAATCGTAACTTCCACGAATGAATGAGTATGTATTGATTGGTTCTGTTGCATTCTTGCGAACTCTTGAATCAGCCATAACCACTAATGAACGCTTTGAATCATCCATAGAAGTCATTATGTCAATATCATAATCATTGCAGGAATAGCATTTAATCATTCTGTTCGAAACTGAATAGAAGAAATTAGTGTTACAATAAATGTGAAGACCTCCTGAAGCGGTTTTAACGATAACATCTTTATCCGAAAGTTTTGATAAAATATCTTTTCTAACTGTTTCTTTAAGTTCATCATTGTATGATTTATTGATATCAATATCTATAATCGTTAAATTTGAAATTTTATTTACTAATAAAGCCATACCAGTTTTCCTTCCTCTTCCTCCATCGTGTTTGAGATAGTTATGTAAATCAATCTTGTTTTCACCAATTCTTTCGTTGAGGGTTTTAGTTTCTGCCACAACTAATTCCTCAGCTAATAATCAATAACTTTTTCATCAGAAACGATATAGTTGCTGTTGTTGTTTGTTGCTGTCATTTATATAGGAATAAAAAAATAAAAATAATTTTAAAACTAACTTTATTTTTGGACTGCATCAAATTTCCTGGACTGTTGTCTAAATGTCATGTTGTCAGTAATTTTAAGAGAAGTTAATTAACCCGGTGACACATGGTGACATGGTGACACCTTCAGTTCTTCAAAAATAATTAATTATTGAATAACCTAAAAACCATTAACGATAAAATATATTTTTGGTCATTTATGACAAAAATAAATGGTTCATTTACTCACAATATTTTTGTACAAAACGACCCCAAACTTTTAACTTCTTTTCTGCAGCTTCTAATGCTATCTTAGCGAGTTCATATTCTCTAAATTCTCTCTTTAAATCTTCTTGTTCCCATTGGTCTAGTTCGTATGGAGAATTTCTATAACCATAACATATCTCACGTTCATGTTCTAATTGTTTTTCGCGCATTTTTCTAACTTCTTGTTCGAACAAAGGTTTAGCATTCTCTACTGTATCTTCAAGTTCTTCTTCATCTAATTTCTCATGAACTTTCTTGTCTATGGAGTCCATAATATCTTTGACATAAAATGCATACTTTACAGAGCACCATTCAGCAACAAAATGAATGAGGTCAGGATGTATGTAAATACCTTTGAATTCATTTATAACACCCTTAGTAAGCTCATAAAATGCTTGCTTTGAGGTCGAGCCACTTTTGGCTCGACCGTATTCTTTCAACCAAAACTCAAGAATTTCCTGCATTTTAGCACTATTGAGAAATCTGTTTAAATGGTTTAACTTTCATGCTTCTCTTGCCATCTTTGTTGCATTAATGTAACCATCCTTGTCTCTACGTAAGACTTCAATACCGTTATAAGTGCCTTTTGTGAATGTTTCGCCATTAGATTTGTTCGTGAATGTTTTTGCTTCGACTGACATTTCTGTTCTTACATACAAAATAAAAAAAAATAAAAATAAAATAAAAACTAACTTTATTTTTTATTTCGGGAAAATTCATGAAAATTCATGAGGGTAGAAATGAGGGTAGATATCGGGTTAGATCTAGCCTTTCAAAGAAAATATATTTCTGGTGTAAATTTCATGAAAACATTAATATATAAAATTCATGAAAATTCATGAGGGTAGAAATGAGGGTAGATATCGGGTTAGATCTAGCCTTTCAAAGAAAATATATTTCTGCAGTTCATCCATTAGTTTATTACCTAATTAATTACAGACATAAAATATATTTAGTTCATAAAAATTTTTTGATTAATTTTGGCTTATTTTTATTCTTCCAGTAATCCTTTTCGAGTTCCGATAAATGTGTAGGGTTCGATTCTCTCAAATTTCTAGAAGGAATTTTATCATCCACACCTCCTTCATAAATGACAGTGTATTCATCTTTGTCTTCATCATAACTCACAATTTTATTAACTATACCTCTTTTTGCTTCATCAACCGTCTTAGCTAATCTTCCATTTTCGCTTTCAACTAATCGAAATCGTGGATAAAACGCAACCGAATGGTCAGCTGCTTTAATTAAATAACCATTACCCTGTGAGGAATCAACGATATAATAATCATCACTTAACTGATTTCTTACTTTTTCATGTGGTTTATGTTCAAGAATGATTCTAACTTTAGTTCCTGGCAGTAATGATGAACTTCTTCTTTCCTCCGTTAACATTCTCTTTTGTTTTATGTATTCATCCTCCTCTTTTGAAGTCATTTCGTTTGGTTTAAATCCTGTGCTGTTATGGGTGGACTTATTATAAGCATTAATGACTTTATTCATTGATTCCTCCGTAAAATCTCTTTCTTTATTTAAATCTCTTAGCGTTCTAATGAAACGATTAATGATACCTAAAATATTATGGTTATGGTCTTCAGTCGTGTAATGAGTAACGTTATGTTTAATCAAAAATTCTGTAATTTCATTACTGAGGTATGCTGAATCCTGGTCTGAAGTTAATGAAGTGGGATGATGTTCTGCCACGAACGTCTGCAAAACTCTTAAAACTTCTTTTGTTCCTTTATTTTTCATTATATACGCAAAAGCTTTACGTGTATTAACATTAATGAAAATCAAAAATGGTGGCTTTCTTCCTTTCTTACTCTGAACGAGTGTATCAAATTGATATGCATCATGGGTTTTCGAGTAAATGGGAAGGTAGTAGTCGTATGGATTAACTTTAACCTGATGAACTATATTTTCATCATAAAATCTCTTAATTTCTGTTCTATCATTAAATCCCGCATTCTTTGCAGCTTCATAGAATTTTTTAAATGACCTCCACGGTGATGATTCGAATACTTCTTTTAAACTCATTTATGTAAAAATAAAGATTTTATTCAAGACGGTACCATGCGAATACAGTCATAAATGGTGGCATATAATCTTCACCCGAGCCTGTTGGATTTGTTGTGAAAGTATGGACATGATTTCCTCCTGGTTCAGTTGGTCGAAAAGTCTTTTTTGCTGAATTGTTATAAGATGGAGATAAAACGTCATTGCCAGCTTTATAGTCTGAGTTGTATAATGGGTGGTCTCTTAATGAGTGGCTATGGTCGCCAGAAAAGTTTGTCGTTCCTGTATGAGTGTGCGCAGGTAAGTTTGCTTCTAAAATTTTCTTTGAACCACCTGTTTGATTTGAAGAGTTAGCACAGTATAAGAATTTATCTACAATCTGCTGCCATGTACCAAAACCTAAAACTGTTGCGGGATTTGTTGAATTCATTGATGTATATAAAGAACCAACAGGATATATAGCTTGCAATATTTCATTTTTCATGCTTGTAATCGCATTTGTTGCATCAGTTCTAAATTCATCGAAACCATCGAGAACATGAGTAAGATTATTATATTCCACATTCTTTTGACCAGGTAATTGATGATGTAATTGAATGTCATTAACTGTTAATGAATCTATATTCGAAAATCTTTCATTTATTTTACCATTAACTGCATCATTCATTTCCGACTTCTTCACACAATTTTCATCTACATAAGTTTTGTCGGCTTTCTTATCATATAAATCTTGAGCAGTGAATTTAACATTATTTTCATCATCCATGACATAAACATTTTTACAGCTAATGTCTTTCTTTGTTGTTATGTTTTCATTCGATGTTAAACCTTGTGGAAAGTTAGGAGGTTTATAATATAATGCATCCCCACCAGTTCCGCCAACCGTTCCTTCAATACTTTCTATAGCAACAGTTGAGAAGGAGTTATGTGTATGTTCTTTATCTGCTTTTTTATCTAACATTGCTGGTAGTTCATATGTTTCAAAGTTTCTGACATGACCTTCGATATTTATACATTTGTTATTTAAGGAGTTTAGTGTATCTTTTACGCTTGTACTTGGATTCTCTAAAGGTGCACTTGAACCAAGGGTATAGTTCAATATTATGTCGTCTGCTCTAACAGTAGTGAAGGATTCATGTGTATGGTTCTTGTCAGCTTTACTATTTAATGTAGCTTGAAGTTCATTTATATCGGATATATTGTGTTTATGAGATTTCAAAACTTTGTTCGTTGCGTCAAGTTCATCTTTGTCAGCTTTACTTTTAATAGCATCTTCAAAAGTTATTTTTGCCTTAACTCTCAACATAAATCTTGGTTCAACTAATACACCGTTAACAAAGAAGTATGAAGCATAAATTTCATTGTTATAACCAAATGCTTCTGGTGCTTTACCTGTGTCATACTGTACAGTACAGCGTATGTCATAACCTTCAGCACGAATGAATTTATATCTTCTTTCATTAACATCTTCCGTCTTCACTTCTTCATCCTGTGTTAAATATCCATGATAATCCGTTATAATCTGTTCATCTGAACTTATATAATGAACATGGTTTTTATCTGCTTTATTATCTAATTTCTCATTAACATCATTCACCTAATTCAACTCTTCCGCCAGAACTCTTATTATCATTAATCTTTTTCATTAATTCAGTAATTACGTCATAAAGACTATATTCTGTTTTCGGTTCTGTAAATAATGAGTCAAAATTTCTTTTCATCATTACATCACTTACATTAATGATATCAGCTATACCTTTTTCATTTATTCTCTTCATTAGTTCTGCAATAATGACGAATATATAATCTGTTAATTTATTCTCTTCATCAAGGGTTATAGAATGATTTGAAATCGAATCATTAACACCTCTAAATAAATCAATAACTTCGGGATACACGTTTTTAATGTCTCGAATAACCTGACCCGTATCCTCTGGTTTCTCCTCTTCTTCGTGGGCTTCGCCCTCGCCGCTACGCGGCTTTATGTCTCTAGCCATCATCAACGCAGCCATAACCGGAGGGTTTGTTGCTACCTGTTCGAAAATCTGTCCGTTATGTATGGTATATCTAAATAATTTCTTTGTGTTTGTTAAAACATTTGAAACAAGTCTTTTAAAACCATCTACAAAATTTCCCGTTTCACCTAATGTTCTTGCGGCATCTACAAGCTCACTCATTCCCGCTTTTGACCCCAAAAACGTCCATATTGCATTTATCTCACTCTGTATAGCTGTCCATTCAGCGAAACTAACACCCGCATTCGCTAAGTCGAAAATGAAACCCAGTGGATCGAACTTAATTCCGCCTTCTTTTTCAATTTCAACGAACTCACTAACATGAGATTTTAAATATTCTTTCGTTAAAATCGTTTTTCCTGATGTCATGCTGTTAACGGAACTATCACCGTCAAAAGTTAACGAATTCAATTTCGTCATTGATGCTTTTATTTCATACACCGCTTTATCTATAGTTTTTGGCTCACCTTCTTTAGAAGTGTATGAAACATTAATGAATGAATTATATGTATTCATGAATGAGTTAAAATCAATGATTTTCATTAATGAAGCTTTTAATGATTCATTAACTACTGACTCCCTTAATTCAATTACTGAACTGTCATTAATGAAAGGTACACTGCAAACCGTCGAATTTGGATCAAATGCCGTAGTCGGTGAAGGAGTATTAATTATATAAGTCATTAAATCATTAAGTGATGTAAATAATGTTGTAATTCTTGATTTAATTTCTTTAGCATCTGTTATATACGGTAATTTTATTTCTGTAGTTTCTGAATTAAAGATATTCGCTAAAATGTTTTGTAAACTGTTTTGAACAGCTGTATAAACCGTTGAATTCGGAACCTTACGATTTCACCATCCTTAATAAAGGGCATTGCACATGGCGTAGTGCTTGGGTCAAATCTTTCGGGATTATAATTCAACATATATTCTAATGCTTCATAAACAGACCTATATACTGTTGTGTTATCTTTTTCAATAATTTCACCTTTTATAAAGGCATTGTACATGGCGTTAATATTGGAATGAATTTTTCATATTCTTTCCATGAGATATAATGTTCAGTTTTTCCATCAGTGATAATTAAACTCATCATCAAATGAAAACGTGTATGAACCAAAATTAATCTTTTCGCCCTATCAGCTTCATAAGAATATGCGGATATACTCATATTTTTAATTATAATAAAAATGTTATTCTATTTGCAAAGTACTGACCTAATGATTACGGGACATTAAAATTACAAACTAACCTTGGTCTTCAGAATGAACCACTAGCTTTCAGAGTTCTTGATTTTAGCACTATCGCTTCATTTGTTATAACAGACACTAACGATTTCATTATATTTGAAATTGATGGTATTAGTACTGAAATTCATTTTAAAGCAAGAAATAAATATGATATTGATACGTTAGAGAAAAAGATTCAGGATCTCATTGATGAAAAATTTAATGGAGCCGTTAACTGTGAATTAACTGATTCAGGAATAATAAAATTTAGTTCCGAAAAAGAATTTAAAATTACTGATATGACTCATCGAGCACGTTTATTACTAGGTGCTTATCATCAAGAATTACCATTAAAATCTTCTATTGAAAATCAGAAATATATAATTGAAATGAAATCTGCACCCAACATATGTTATGGAAACTGTTTATATGTTGAATCAAAAATAAGTAATGTAACAGGAATTTCAGGAGTTAATAATAAAAATTCTGTTATAGAATATAAATCGTTCTGTTACGCCGTTAATTCTGTATTCATGCCTAATTTTCCGATTTTATTAAGCACGAAGGAAAATGGGTTCGAATTCAACCACACCATTTAAAAGATATGACATTTAGATTAGTTGATTTTCAAGGCGAACCAATTGAAATTAAAGCTCCTGTGCAGATGACCATAGAAGTTGATTTTTGGTCTAATATAAGAGCTAATGGACTAGATGATGAACCAGGATAAAAATATAAATTTAAATTAATTCGTTAAAACATATTTCAAGCAAGAGTTTATATTCTGTTGAAAGTTTTGTGTATTCATTCGAATATTTATACTTAAACTCAACTCCTGTAGTTCCTGGTGTTTCGATTATTCTAATATTACCGATTTTCATAAATACCGGCATCTGACCGCAGTATTCGATTTCGGGGTCGAGATAATCAATAACGCACTGTTTCCCTGTTATTCTTGATATAACATTTTCTAAATCATCCTTTGTTAAAATTATTTGGTTCTTACTAATTAGATTTGCCAAAAGCTTCTTATCGTCTTTGAGTAATATTGTTTGGTATAAATTAAGGAGGTAATGGTCTACGTTATCTGAAGGATTAGTTTGAATAGTTGAATATGGATTATCTTGAGCTTCTCGCGATATGATTGGTTCTAATGGAGGTGGATATTCTAACTTTACTTCACTGTTAGCGTTTGCGTTTGACGCTGTGTTTAAATTAACGGATTTTAGCTCCGGTTCTTTATCTTTCAAGTTTTCGGAGCTGTAATTTTTGATTATAATATTATTTGTCGTTCTTGAATCAACATTCGACGTCGGTTCGATTGGAACATTCACTGCACCGGCTAAGATGGATTTACTTCTCATTTTCTAGAGAATAAAAACCTTTTATTACTATAAAAATGAATAATATCTTTGATAAAGGTTTAAACGTGAAACTTGAAAATGAAAATATAGTTGAATTCACTAAAACGGGCGCAGTTTATAAAGATGTTGAGGTGTTAAATAAGAAATCAAAAGGCAGAAGTCGAAATATGAACATCGATTATAAACCATTTACTATTTACGTTAATGATGGTTCTGGTGGTTCAAATATTAAATATGCCGAAAGTAATAGAGTTTATGCGTTAAAAGGTGAGGCACCATCAATTAAAAACAATTATTCTAATCTTTATCCTCAAAAACTGACTGATCCAGAAAGTGTGGACATGAATGACACCAAAAATATAAACAGAAATGGTGATAGAGATGGATGGAATCTATTCACAACACATCATCTAAAAATAAAGCTTTAAAATAATGTTGGTCTTTCCCAAGGTATATTTTTAACATTAATTGTATTAGTCATTATATGAACTTCTAAATATGAACGTGGTGAAATGAGTGATTTATAAGCATCCCAGATTTCATCAAAAGGTAATGTTATTCCTGATTGCTTCCAAATTAATTCTATATCGTATTTTGAGAAACCTTGAAATATAACGAAATCAGTAATTAAACGTTTTATGTTTAAAGCTAAAAACCTCCACGTTTGCATAAGTATTGCAACAGTCATGTGATAATGTCTGACTTTAGTAATTAAATTAGCTAATGGTGAATCTGGTTTTGAAACTAAACCTTTACCAGCGAAATCATCACAAACTAATAAAGTGTTTGATGGATATTTTTTAAAAGGATATTTTGAAAGTTTCGAGAGAATGTAGTTTGTCAATCGTTTCATATCATGCGTACCATCCTGCTGTCTCAAATGATGTTTATCAATAATTCTTTCCATTTCTTCCGAGGTCTTTTGCATTCCTGATTGTATAAATTCAACTATTGCATAATATTTCTTCTTTCTTCTTATATATCGTTGAAGAAAAGAAATTAATTCGCTATCTGGAACTTTAATTACTGATGCCTGAACTTTACTCATAAACGTCTTCGCTGTTGAATTCATTGAATCTGAAGTTGCTGATATAATGATTTGGTCATAATATGAATCTTGACCTAATCGTTCAGTAATTAAAATATGACGAATTAAATTAAAAGTCTTTCCCGAACCCATTTTTCCGCAATAGAAATACACACCGTTTGAACAGAACTGATAATCCTTACTGAAGGGAAGAATTAATGAACTATTGAGTTTATCAGATTTTTCATTCATTTTTTCATCTACTTCTTCAAATAAATGTTTCATTTTATTATAATTAAAAATGCAAGTCAGAAATTTTGTTAATACCGTTCCCAGTCTTAATGATAAAAGTATTAAAATCTATTATGAGCACATATTTTCACAACCGTTTAAAATAATCAATGGTGAATACATTTATGAATACCCTAAACACTGGGTTGATTATAACACTGGCGAAAAAGCAATTGAAATAAGACAGATAAAAACCATTCCTGCAGGACGAACCATTGAATTATATAACTTTGGAATAATAAGAGATAATCATCAATATGATTTACAGATTTATATAGATTTAGACACAGGAGATGATATGACAGCATTTAATAAAAAGATTAAATCGGTTCTTATTGAACAGTTAAAAGGTGCCGGATATCCTCAACCTAATGAAG